GACATTGGGCTCAGTTAAATTTGTTGATATTTCTAGCATTGCCATGGTCCTTATGTTCTCCCAGAAACCATTATTATGTACTAGGTTATCAGCCTCTTTGGGGTTCAGTTGTAGGCTACTGCTTTTTTTTTCCTTTTCTTTATTGATTTTAGAGAGAGAGGAAGGGAGAGATAGAAACGTTGATGAGAGAGAATATCAGTTGGCTGCCTCCTGCACGCCCCCCACTGGGATTTGGCCCACAACTTGGGTGTGTGCCCTGACCAGAAATCGAACCAGCAACCTCTTGGTGCATGGGTTGACACTCAACCAGTGAGCCACACAGGCTGGGCTGTAGTTTACTGCTTTATAGCGTTCCTATTCCTATAGATCTTATCTTGATCCCTGACATCCTGAGTGAAAACATTTCCAGTTTGACCCTTATTTTTTTTTCTGGATTTTAAACTGTTCTAGATGGGTTTAAACAGTTCTTTATGGGTTTAGAATTTCTCAGTATGAAGAAATTTATTAGATTTCATCTTTTTTTAGAACTTATATTTCTGACCTCAGTTCTTAGCAAAATGAGAAGCCTAGTAATTTCTTAGAACTTTAAAGGTATCATTTCTTTGGGACTAACCACCAAATAATCCCATTTCCTGATTGAGTAGTGTCTCGACTATTAACTGATCTCCTAAAATAAGGTCGTTGATCTCAAGTTGTATCTCTCATTAAGCCATTCCTAGTTTAGAGTACCCAATCTTACTTCCCCTAGCTTTTCTTGCTGGCTAATGACTACAGTATCTTATTAATACTTAAAATATTTTTAAGTATGAAAATTATATGCTGTGCTTATAACAGAAGCAAGGAGAGGGAAACAATTGTCAAAGAAGAAATAGAATAAACTATTAAAAGCAGACACACAAACTCAATAATGCAGTCAAGGTTACTTAGTATAGAAGAAAATAGTTTGGAGTACTTTAGTGAGTCCTAAGTATATCATGTCTTTAAATATTACAATAATTGATGGTAATAAAGCCTTCATATCAGTGGTTCTTAACCAGAAGGGTACATTTAATCATTATATATATAATGTGCGTGTGTGTGTGTGTATAAGATATTGATTGCATTTGAGGTAGAACTCTGGACAAACATCTCTAAATTTTCTTAATTCTCAAATATTCTTGATTAAAATTCATTGTTTAATATAGCAAGAAAAAATAAAATTATATTCAGTATGTTCTGCTTAAGACTGTAGGCATTTTGCTTTTTTATTTTTATTTTTTTAGACATTTTATAAAATCAGTGTAATTTCAGTCATTAAGGGAAAAAAGAAGAAAAAACTAGTAGAAAAATGGGTAAAAGCAGTAAAAGGATGAAAGAAGTAATTCATATGACTGTTAACTTTGTAAAAATATATTTAACCTCACTTCTAGGCAAATAAATATATATTTTTCCTAACTAGATCATCAAACTGAAAAGATTTATAATCTTTAATTTGGTTTTTGTTTATAGAAACAGGCACTCAAGTTTATTGCTGATAGGACTATAAGTACAAATCTGGAGGACAGTTTGGCGATATGGAGCAAAGTTATAAATATTTTTATTACCTAAGCAGTAATTTTATCCTAGGAATTTATTCTAAAGAAATTGGAAAATATCAGATTGCAAAATAACATTTACAATCTGACTTGTATTGTTAGGTCAGCATTTTTTTAAAGTCTGAAAGGCTATATATAGTGTAATGAAATAACACGTGTAGTTATAGCTGAAAGGTGTACAACTACAGATAAGTTTTTTATAATGTCTATATCTTAGTGTGCAAGTGAGTGGCTTTGGTACATAGGAGAGGTGCAGAAGTTCTTTTGCCTTTAAAAATTTAAATCTGAGGATTGAAGAGACACATTGGGGAGAGGTTACCTTCTGGACTTACTAAAGTTGTTTGTTGATTTCAGACAATGCTGAGATCTGAAGCTCTTGAGTTTTCTCATTGCCTGGACAAGCAGGCTGAGCCCCTTTGTTTTATTTATTTATTTATTTATTTATTTATTTATTTATTTATTTATTGATTGATTGATTTATTCATTCATTCATTCATTCATTCATTCATTATTTTTTCTTTATTAATTTTAGAGAGAGAGAGTAAACGAGAGAGAAACATTGATGAAAGAGAACATTGATTGGTGCCTCCAGCATGTGACCCCCACTGGGGATTGGGCCCACAACCTGGGCATGTGCCCTGATTGGGAGTCGAACCAGTGACCTCTTGATTCACGGGTCGATGCTCAACCAGTGAGCTACACCAACCAGGCCAGGCTGAGCCCCTCTAAAGAATTACTAAAAATTTAAACAGGAATGCCATTATCTACTCAGGTACCCACAGGATTGTAACCAATTACCTTAACTATTTTGTTGGTTTGTAATTATTTTTTCTTTTAAGATAATTAAATATTTTACTGTTTCAATCTAAAGATAAAGTTATTGAATTATTTATACTCGTAGGAAATTCTTTACACACTCAGGCAATTCTCTGGTAACATCTTTAAATTTCATGGAATCTAATACTCCTTAGTCTTTCTCCCCTTAACCCCCAGCTTTATAATTGACAAAATTCTATATATCTAAAATGTACAATGTGAGGATTTGATGTATAAATTGTGAAATATTTACAGTTAATTAACACTCCTATTACCTCACATAGTTTCTTTGTGTGTGTGTGTGAGAACACTTAAGAACTCTCAGTAAATTTTAAATAAGCAATACAGTACATCACTACTTACTCTCATGAAGCTGACTGTTTGTAGTCTTTGATCAACATCTCCCAGTTTCCCCTATCTATATTTTGTCTACTCTTGTAGATATCAACATGGTTAAATTCTGGCTATTTATCAAGTTTTATTTAGCTCTGAGTCACAACTCCTTAGGTCGTTCTAATGACAGTTTGACTTTCTAATTTGTTTTTCTATTTTTTTGCTGCATTTTAAGTTACTAAAGAGCATATATATATTTTATAAGGAGGACTAAATCTGGTTCGATTGGGGGGTGAGATAGGGAACATCAAGAATCAACTGAAGAACTTTTCAAATCTATAAAAAAATTTAACTATTTTAAGTAGTGGTATGCAAGATAAGTGTACAAGATTCAATAGCTTTTTGAAGGTATTATATAAAGAAACTGACAAAAAGACTTTAAAAGAGTGGATACAAGACAGATAGTATCCATTGTGACTTTTCCCCAGATTCATTTACAGTTTTAATTTGTCAAAATCTCAATAGGATTTTTCTTTTTGAAAGAATAGGAAAGAGACAGTTGGAGATATCTTGAAAAAAATTATTGAATAGTCAAGACAATTTTGAAAAAATAATGAGCAAGTTCTTGTCATATCAATATGAACAACAACTGTAATGCTACTGTAATAAGTCACTGTGGTTCTGATAGACCAGTAGACTAAAACAAACTCTGATGTATGTAAGAAGTTGGTAGCATCTTAAATCAGTGGAAAAGGAAGGATTATTCAACAAATGATGTTAGAATAATTGGTTAACCAGAAGAAATGAAGTTAAAATTTCCCCTCAAAACTATACCAAAATAAATTCCAGATAAAGTTTATTATGAAATAGAAACCACAAGAAGCTAAAAAAAAATGTAGGTGAATATTTAATGACCTAGGGAAAAGAATTTATAAGCATAGAAACAGTGAAAGAAATCACACAGGAGAAGAGTTAAAAACTTCTCCAGTAAAAGCTACCACAAATATAATTAACAGACAAATGGAAAAATTAGAAAACCATTTCAAATGAATGTGACAAAGTGTACACACAAACATACACAATCTACCTGTAATCTACCTGTTGAGGGGCAGGGAAGAGACAACCTCTGGTTCTTAACCATTTGGGTAATAACTTCCAGAAAAAGTTATGCACACTAAAAGGCATGGATACACACACACAACGACTTCCAGTATAATTTTAGGAAACTCGTAGTCATATAAGTTTTATGGATCACAAAAAAAGTACCTGGTAAATATGAATAAACTTTGACTTCCCTATTAAAGAAATGAAAGATTTTCAAAAATGGTGATGTTGAATATTGGAGAAAATATTGCTAATGAGCAATAACTTTGTAAAATCTCCCTGGAAAGCTGTTTGGCTTTTAAAATTTCAAGTGTCAGAATCTTATTTTAAAATTTTGTTTCTAAGAATTATTTTAAGAAAACAGACTCTCAGATTTTTATGCAGCAATGAGCATTATGTACTGAAGTACTTATTATTACTTATAGTAGCCAAAAATTGGAAGCAACCTGAATGCTCAACTTTAGTGTAATGGTTACTATAAATTATGGTTTAGCCATGTAATAAAATATATGGAGCCATTATATATAATGTTTTTTAAAGACTAGTGATTTGAGAAAACAAAGTATACTGTTAAATGAAAAAGAAAATGCTGTAAGATGTATAAAATAAAGTTCTTTCTAGGTAATGGGACTGTTGGTGATTTTAAATTCCTTTTTTCATTTCTGTATTCCTCTCATTTATTTTTATAGTGAGTATGTATTAGTTTTATATTTAAAACACTTGCAAGAAATGTTATTTTATTCTGGTATATAATTATAAAGAGTATTACTTAAAAATCAGTGGTTTGAGCCCTGGCCAGTTTGGCTCAGCAGTTAGAGAGCACCGGCCCGGGAACCAAAGAGTCCCGAGTTCAATTCCAGCCAAGGGCACATACCTTGGTTGCAGTTTGTCCCCGGTCCCAGTTGGGGTCATGCGGGTGGCAACCAATCTATGTGTCTCTCTCAATTGATATTTCTCTCTCTCTCTTTCTCTCTCTCCCCCACTCTGTTTGAAGATAAGTGTAAAAATATCCTTGGGTGAGGATTAAAAAAAAAATTAGTGATTCGACACTCAAATATCTATGCAAGTTTTGTTTTTTGAAAATGTAAATTGTTATAGTTCAAGAAATTTTATCTTAACTATTGAATTAAGACAGAAAATTAATTTTTTGATACCTTTTCCTTTTCCTACTAGAAGTGGAAGACTTGTTTTCTTCACTTAAACATATCCAACATACTTTGGTAGATTCTCAGAGCCAGGAGGATATTTCACTGCTTTTACAACTTGTACAAAATAAAGATTTCCAGAATGCATTTAAGATACACAACGCTGTCACAATACACATGAACAAGGCCAGTCCTCCATTTCCTCTTATCTCCAATGCACAAGATCTTGCACAAGAGGTATGTATTCTAAAGATATCGTTGACATGTACAAGGTAATTGTTAGTGACAGTAAGGCAGTATTATTGGAAAATGCTGGGGTGAATATAAGGCTTGTTTGAATTAATTACTCCTGATCACATAATAATCATTTAATGTGTTAGGAAAAACTTGCTAAAAGTACATTTTATCCTGAAAAAATATATACTTATTTTAGAGTCAGAGCTCTGTTTCATGAAAGAAGAGTTTTGTATAGAGAAGTATATATTTGCATGGTAAGAGAAATATTTTTCTAAATTACTAAAGGGGAAAATATTTTTAGTATAGTTTTATTTTAAACAAACAGGTAAAGACTGATGAGATAAAAATTGTATTTGATAATCAGGTATTATATAACTTCTAAAATTTGTTGCTAGTAAATACAGTCATGTACTGCCTAACAACTTTTCAGTCAACAACAAACCACATGTATGACAATGGTCCCGTAGGATTATAGTGGAGCTGGAAAATTCCTATCATCCAGTGATGTTGCAGCCGTCCTCACAACACGTTACTCTATGTTTGTGGTGATGCTGGTGTAAACCTACTACACTGCCAGCCCCATGGAAGTACAGCACTGTGACATAATTGCCTATGGTATTCAGAACAGTAACATGCTGTACAGGTTTGTAGTCTAGGAGCAATAGGCTACCCCATATATATATGCCTCCATGTGTAGTAGGCTATGCCATATAGATTTGTGTGAGTACACTCTGTGATGTTTGCATAATGATATCGCCCAATGGTATGTTTCTCAGAAGGTATCATTGTCAAGTGGTACATGACTGTATTTTGAAGTTTTTTCTCTGTAAAAGCTGTGTAGAAGGTCAAAAATAATTAAATTTCAATGTGCAGTGAAAGTTCTAGTTTCTGCTGCTTGTTGATATTCAGTGTTTAATATGTTCTGCAAACATTTTTTATTTATTTTTCTTTATTGATATATTAGAAAGAGGAAGGGAGAGGGAGAGAGAGATGGAAACATCAATGAAAGAGAACATTGATTGGCCTCCTCCCACATGCCCCTAACTGGGGATTGGGCCCACAACCTGGGCATATGCCCTGACCAGGAATTGAACTGGTGACCTCTTAGTGCATGGGTTGACGCTCAACCACTGAGCCACACCGACCAAGCTGCAAGCATCTTTTAATTTAAAGATTTAAAAAAGATAAATAAGCTATCTCTAATCTTGGTGGAGGTGGACATTTTGTTGTCATTATAGGATTTTAAGTTATTTTATTGTAAAAACTAATAATTCTGGAAGCCCATCAAGTAAATCTATTTCATGGAATCCAGACACAAGATAGAAAATGGGATAAGGGAAAGGGTAAGAGCTCCAGAGCTACAGACTTATAAAATAGGTTAAGAGGCACATTTCAGATTAGCACAGAATGTATTTTCTTCATGTAGATGCCTATGATGGGTAAAAGATTCTGGGAATAAGAGTAGCCGAGCAAAGTCTAGTATTGCCTAGAAAAGTGACCTAAGGACCTGTTCCTAAAAAGGAAATTTTTCATCCATTAGATTTTAAAAGAGAACTAGTTAAAACTGATTTTGTGTGCTCATCTTTTCTATTAAAAATATGCATAATCTTCTATTAAGAATTTATTCCTGTAGTTTTTATTATCCTAGTTTAAATGGTTTGTCTAAAAATTACTTCCCTTGCAAAGATTAGAATAACTGACATTACTTTGATCTTATTTACTCACAAATATAGCATAACTTCTATTGTATAGGGTTGGGAGGAACACATAATAAATAATTGTACTTCTCTTCCCTATCTTTAGAAGGAAGTGTCCAGCTAGCTACTGGTGGGTTGTTTTGTTCAATAGAACAATAGGTGGAAAAGAATATGAGATAAGCAAGAGAGATCAGAAGTGCTCCAATTAAAGAATGTGACAGAGTCCACAGAAGGCAGAAAGAAAAGGTAAAAGCAGCAACATAGTTTAAAGGGTTTTAGGATTGAGAGAGGCAAAGAACTAAAGTGGCTTCAAGAGTAAACTCTGGCCACTTTGGCTCAGCAGTTAGAGCATCAGCCCGCGGACCAATGAGTCTCCGGTTCGATTCTGGCCAAGGGCACGTACCTCGGTTATGGTTCGTTCCTGGCCCAGTTCGGGGTCGTGTGGGAGGCAACCAGTCAATGTGTCTCTCTCACATTGCTGTTTCTTTCTCCCCTTTTCTCTTTTCCTCCCACCCTATCTGAAGATAAATAGAAAAATATCCTCGGGTGAGGATTAAAAAAAAAAAAGAGTAAAGGCTTTGGGAGAGGAAGAAATGGTTGAAAAGGACTTAATCAATTTTGAATATTAGTTTTAGGATCGTTAACATATTTGTATGGTTTACAATTTTGAAAGTACCATATCAAGGAGATTGTCTGAAAGTTGGCTTTCACATCCTTGCAGTATCTCCAGTAACACTTGAGGATTGCATTGCTTTGGTGGTGGTGGGATATGTGGGATGTGGGTGATAGTTACCTTGGACTGAAGCTGGTCTTTTTTTTTTATCCTCACCTGAGGACATTTTTCCATTTTTTGTTCAGATAGAGTGGGAAGGAGAGAGACAGACAGACAGAAACATCGATGTGAAAGGGACACATCGAGTGATTGCCACCTGCACGACCCAACCAGGGCCAGGGACAAACTGCAACCGAGGTATGTGCCCTCAGTGGGAACCGAACCCCGGTCTCTCTGGACTGCAGGCCAGTGCTCTAACCTCTGAGCCAAACCGGCCAGGGCTGAAGCTGGTCTTAAAATGAGTGCAAGATGTTGAACCTCGTCAGCTGCAATATGTGGTTGTGCTGCATTGTGAATGACTTCCCCTGGAGCTGTACGTGCACAGTTGTGTGGCAGCCCTGACTTACAGTGCATAACGCTTAGGAAAAGTGCACACTCAGAGCTCATCAAAGAAGAGGTTAAGTCTGATAACAAAATGGAAGGTTAAATGGACTCATTGGCTTTATTTTACAGCTGGGAAAATCTTAGCAATCACCTAATTAAACCTTTTTGTTTTATATTTCTGAATATTGAGGCCAAGTAAGGTTTTGTAACGGCATAAAACTAACTAGGCTGCTCATGTACCCATTGCCTAATTTGCTTTTTAGCATTCATAATTCCAGCTATTTTAATATGCAGCATTTAAAAGAAGAAATTAGCCCTGGCCAGTTTGGCTCAGCGGTTAGAGCACTGGCCTGCAGTCCAGAGAGACCCAGGTCCGATTCCTGCTAAGGGCATGTACCTCGGTTGCAGTCTGTCCCCGGCCCTGGTTTGGTCGTGAGGGTGGCAACCACTCGGTGTGTCCCTTTCACATCGATGTTTCTCTCTCTCTCTCTCCCTCCCACTCTATCTGAACAAAAAATGGGAAAAATGTCTTCAAGTGAGGATAAAAAAAAACAAAAATAAAGAAGAAATTACCTTATGCTTTATAAAGTTGTATTATTTTTATGTGGAAATTTAATTTGAGTAATTAAAAAAACAACTCAAAGAATTTAGTGAAAGAATGTCTTAAATATTTTTTTGTTATCCTCACCCGAGGATGTTTTTCTATTTTTTGTTCAGATAGTTAAAGCTAATATACCTATGTACTATAACTCAGCAATCCCACTTCTGGGTATGTACCTGAGAGAAATAAAAACATATCCACACAGAGACTTATGCATAGATGTTCATAGAAGTCAGATAATAGTTAGAAACTAGAAACAACCCAGCAGTCCATCAACCAGTCATTGAAAGCTGAGTTAGGCTATCACAGTGGAAGAACAAGTAAATAATTACAACCTAATGAGAAGTACTATGATGGCCATATGAGAAAGGTACCAAAATCTGGGTAAGATGTGCCTAATTCTCTCTGTGTTAGGGGTGTGGAGTGATGGAAAAGGAAGAACATAGAAGAAAATTTAATTTGCTAAGTCTTGAAGGATGATTGGTAGATTTACTAAGAAACCCTAAAAAAAGAGGAAAAGCCATTCCATGGGCAAAGGGTACAAAGACAGTTGTGCCTGAGAAAGCCTGGTATATTTCTTAAACAAGGAATAAGGGGTAGGATATGTATTTAAAAGATCCTGAAATTCAGATCCTGAAAGCCAGATAAGTCATATTAATAATTTTAAACATCCTTTTATGGATCCATGCTGATCAGTATTTTACAATAATTAACTTATGTGAGTAGATGAAAGGAAAAAACTATGTGAACAACTTGATGCAGAAAAGGCATCTGAAGACTATTCAGTACTTTTCCCTTGTTGATGTTCTTTGGAAATCAGGCACATTGATTAAGAATAGAATCAGCCCTGGCCAGTTTGGTTTAGCGGTTAGAGCGGTCTCCTGCGGAGCAGAGAATCCCTGGTTCGGTTCTCGCTAAGGGCATTTACCTCGGTTGCAGTTTGTCCCTGGCCCTGGTTGGGGTCATGTGGGTGGCAACCACTTGGTGTGTCTCTCTCACATTGATGTTTCTCTTTCTCCCCCTCCCCCACCTCCGACTCTACCTGAAGATAAATGCAAAAATGGCCTCAGGTGAGGATAAAAAATAGTATCAAACTATTAGGTAACATCTTACCTAATGGTGAAACACTCAGTATATTGCGGTTTTTTATATATATATATAAAAAGGGAAGATCTCAGAGATGTTTAGGAACTGATTTAAAAACTAAAAATGGGGGGGGGTGTACACTAAATGTGTTGAGCATGAATACAGAAAATTATAGCATAATACAATTATACCTTTCTTACTAAATGTGAAAAAACTATCAAGTGGGTGGTTTTCTAAGAAAATATAAATTGTCAAACATGACATAAGGAAAGATAGCCAAAAAAGTAGACCAGTAGCTATAGATAAAATTGAAAATCGGAAATCCACCCCTATAAAATGTAATAGGCTCAGCCCTGGCCAGTGTGGCTCAGTGATTAGAGTATCAGCCCATGGACCAAAGGGTCTCAGGTTTGATTCCTGGTCAAGGGCACATATTCTGGGTTGCAGATTGGATCCCCAGCCCTGGTTAGGGTGTTTGCAGGAGGCAACCAATCCATGTGTCTCTCTCACATTTATGTTCTCACCCCCCTCCCTGACCCCCCCCCCCAACACACACACACACACAGACACACACACACTATCTGAAGATAAATGAAAAAATATCCTCGGGTGAGGATTAAAAAAATAAATGTTGTTAACCATGATAATAAGATTGAAAACTGTGAGAAAAAATACTTTTTTTCTAACAATTCTTTTTAGTGCCTTTCTTATAAATAGTTCTTATGATTTTAAATTGTATCTTTTAAAAAATACCTGTATAGGTGCTGGTGATATTTTTCTGTAACCTAGGAAGAATTCTTTCATTAATCTTTCTTTTTGTTCCTTAGGTACAGACTGTTTTGAAGCCAGTCCATCAGAAGGAAGGGCAAGAATTAACAGCTTTGCTGAATGCTCCACATATTCAGGTAGACAATGGATAGAGCATTATATATATTGTTTTTCCAACATTCAAAGCCCCTTTGAATCAGAGCCTCTTAGGGCTGGAAGAGACCTCAAACATTACCTATAGACTCTTTTGGTTGTTTACAACTTACACTGGATATATATTTTCATATTTCAATATATATGTTTTCATATTTAAAAGTAACATTTTTGAAGCAACTTATTTTTTTAAAATAATTCTCCCCTTTTTTGGTATTATTTTTTCATAGATTTAAATGATCTATGGCGTTGGGCCTTTAAATAGATTTTGTTTTTTGCAGTCTAGTAAGCATTTTAAACTTTTATAACCCATCCCAGAGTATGCCTTGTTATACCTAACATATCTTTAGTTATTATTAGCTATGAAAGATACAGGGTTGCTTCTGTACTTCATTGGAAAGTTTGGAAACAGATCTGAATATATCATTAATTGTACTTCTTTTAAAGGGCTTAACGATCAGAATGCTATATACATTATTAGGTTAAAAATCTCTCTAGAGAAATGTATCATGCTGTTACCTTAAATACTATGGATTTTTTTTTTTAACAGGCACTTTTACTGGCCCATGATAAGGTTGCTGAACAGGAAATGCAGCTAGAGCCCATTACAGATGATAGAGTTTATGAAAGTGTTGGCCAGTATGGAGGAGAAACTGTAAAAATAGTTCGTATAGAAAAGGCTCGAGATATTCCATTGGTAAGTTATTCCAAATCTCTGAGATCCTTCCTACCCAGGGATCTTTTGTGTAGCAGATAGTTAAAGACCCCTTTACATTTCTGTAGTTTTCTCTTTTGAGGTCAATTTGTTGGAATTCTTTTATTTTCTTCTTCATACTCCTTTTTCAGAAAAAAAATTTGTTTATCTTTCTTACCCATAATTTGATGAAAATAGTAGCTTATAAAATAATTTTTGAGGAGCAAAGGGATAAATAATCTGATTTATTATTCTCCCAACTTAAAAAAGATGAGAAAAATCTTATCTTTTTATTCAGTTACATCTATTGAAACAATTACTGATACATGTATTTCACATATATTTAGAAGTATGTATTCCTTAATGTTAGTGTTTGTTTTATAGTTTTTATATGTAAAACTTTTTTCAATCTCTTCTTAGTTTGCTATTATTGCCTTAATTTTCTTTTCTTTATTTTCAGAGGATATTCTTGAATCCTGATCTCAAATTGTGGTTTGAATAATGTGATATATATAGGGACTGTATTTTATGGGCAGTTGTGTTTTTTTTTCCTTTCCGTTTTTTTTTTTTTATTGATTTTTAGAGAGAGAGGAACGGAGAGGGAGAGAGAGAAACATTGATAAGAGAGAACATCGATTGGTTGCCTCCAGCATGCTGGGGATTTTGCCCACAACCTGGGCATGTGCCCTGACCAGGAATTGAACCCGTGACTTCTTGGTGCATGGGTCAGTGCTCAATCACTGAGTCACACTGGCTGGGCTATGGGAAGTTTATAGAACTGAGTTTTTTTCCCCACCAGAAAAAAGAAATTGGGAAAGTTATGAAAAAAGTTTAGGATAAAATGTTACAATTCTGGTCCAGCTGATGTAGCTCAGTGGTTGAGTGTCGACCCATGTACCAAGAGGTCGCTGGTTCGATTCCTGGTCGGGACACATGCCCAGGTTGTAGGCCTGATCCCCAGGCAGGGGTATGCAGGCGGTGGCCAATCAATGTTTCTCTTTCTCCTTCTCACTTCCTCTCTCTCTAAAATCAATAAAGAAGAAAAATTTTTTTAAAAAAGTTACAATTATGCCTGCTTCCAAGCTTTTTTCTGTATTTGATATTTCCTTTTTCTTTATTTTCAAGTATATATATGTGTATATTTTACTTGTGTTTTTAATTTGTATAATAAATTAATGTTTAATACATTTTCATGTGAATTGGATGTAGCTATAATATTTAACATTTGAATAATCAACCAGAGTAGTATTCATTTCCTCATTATATTTTGAATTTTTAAAAAAGACTTTTATAGTTATGTCATGTTCACTAATTACACCTAAATATAGTATAACCATTATGAATAGCATGCAGCATATAGACAACAAATTTGATTATAGGTCTTCACATGGTTTTTAAGCAAGTGCATTTTTCTTTTAATACACTTCAGAAGCCTGATTGATTTTTAGAATTGAAAAAATTTTTTTTTCTTTATGGATTTTTTAGAGAGAGAGAGATAGAAACATCAGTGAGAGAGGACATCGATTGGTTGCCTTTTGCATGCCCCCCACTGGGGATTTGGCCCACAATCTGGGCATGTGCCCTGACCGGGAATCGAACTGGTGACCTCTTGGTGCATGGGTTGATGCTCAACCACTGAGTCACACCAGCCAGGCTGATTTTTAGAATTTTAATAACTGTCTCTGAAGTAGAAAATGTAAGGGAAATGGTCAACTTTCAAACCTAGTTATCATGATTAGTCTAGCTGTGTAAGTCAGTTTTTTCCTCAAGATAACTGAAGACTGGTATTGAGTCGAAAAAATAAGAATTTAAAAATGAAGAAATGCTTAACCAAAAAAATACATTTTTATTTTAAAATTGGATGTTGAATTTTTTTTTTTTTAGGGTGCTACAGTTCGTAATGAAATGGATGCTGTCATCATTAGTCGGATAGTAAAAGGGGGTGCTGCAGAGAAAAGTGGTCTTTTACATGAAGGAGATGAAGTTCTGGAAATTAATGGCATTGAAATTCGGGGGAAAGATGTCAATGAGGTTTTTGACTTGTTGGTAAGTTGGCAAAAGTAGAAGAAGATTTGATAGATTGTTGAAAGCTGGGTTTTTTTTTTTGTTACTAGACTTCAAAATAAAATAAAGAGCACTAGATCATAGCCTGATTTTCACATGATATTATTTCTACAATATTTATTAGTCGAGTTTTATTTTTAGGATGGATACTACTGATACTTTTTTTATTTTGAGCTTTATTACTACAAGGTATAGTTTGTTTACCTCTGAAGTGACTAATATATCTCATTAATTCATTCAACATGTATTTATTTGAGTGCCTACTATGTGCCAGCTGCTAGAAAAACAGTAACGAAACAAAGTCTATGCCTCAAGATTTTTATATTTTGTTTATGATCTACAATTGATTGTTGTTTTCTTAACAGTGTTAGATAATAGCAATAGTAGATCTACATTGTCTGATAGCTACATGTGCTAGCTATTTCAATTTAAATTAAGTAAAATTTAAAATTGAGTTTCTTATTCTTACTAGCTCTATTCTAGGTGGTCAAGAGCAATATGTAGCTAATGGCTCCCATTATTAAGGTGTCGATATAGAACATTTCTGTCATAGGAAGTTCTATTAGATGGTGCGCATACAATCAGGAAGCTGTTGTAGACAATTTTTGAGAGCAATTTATGATCACCGCATATGTACCCACAAACCAGATTTATATTCTTATTGACTTAACATCAATTGTTACAGTAGATTCTCTCCTATCTGCTGATGTCTGTCAAAGAATCTAGAAAACATCCTTATATTCTTATTTTCACCTAACCCCTTCCATTGCTTTGGCAGAGCAAAGTGTCAGTGGTCATTGTTTTTAGCCCTTGTTTTATTGGCTGCTATCTCTAGGTTGAGCACTGCTTCCTCCTGTCTCAGGACCAGAAATTGTGATTACTGATTTACTGTCTAGGCAGGAGGTATCTGAACAATCCAGTTAGTGGTATACTGGGAAATAATAGTGAACCTAGCAGTGAGACTACATAGTTAAAAAATAGAATGGATGACGGAGACAAGGCATCTGGGAAGTGAGAATATTTGTATCACTTTTCTAATCCTAGACACAATTACTGTTTCATATTCTACTATATTAAAGTTGATGTGTGTCAGAGTAGAAAACCCAGAATTGTTGTAGCACTGTCGTATTGTCCAACCTTTCACTGTTGAATCTTCCTAAATTTACACTGAGTAGAAGACCAAAACCCAAGACTTATAGGCTAAATGGCTTTCCCTAGTGTGCCAGAATTACAGAATGCCATATTGCTGAGTATCTCTACTATAATGGAGTCCATAAAGGCATAATTTGTGCTTCCTGATGAAATGGGATTCATCTTTACTGATTTTTCTTTTTGTCTCCTAAGGGTCCCAGAATAGTCCAGTTTAGGGAATATTGATCATAAGATCATGAAATGATTTTCATGAATATCAATTTTAAGAATTACCTAATCTCTCTATTACAGTCTGATATGCATGGTACTTTGACATTTGTTCTGATTCCCAGTCAACAGATCAAGCCTCCTCCTGCCAAGGAAACTGTAGTAAGTCATTTTTTTGTTCATTATTTATTGTCTGATGGCTACTGTTAATTTTTGTCTAAATTAATAAAAGTTTATTTTTTAGAGTAGTTTTAGGTTCACAGCAAAATGGAGCAGAAAGTCTAATTTCACATATCTCTTATCCACACACATGCATAATCTTCCCTACTATCAACATTCTGCACCAGAATGGACATTTGTTGCATCAGTGAAATGAACCAGGCCATGTATTGGTTCATTTATGTGAACTTTCCAGAATAGGTAAATCCACGTAAATAATAGGTTCCATTATTACTCAAAGTTCATAGTTTATATTAGGATTCACTTTTGGTGGTATACATTCTATGGGTTTTCACAAATGTATAATTACATGTGTTCACTCACCATTGTATCATATAGAATAGTTTCCCTGCCATAAAAATCCTCTATCCTCTGCCCAGCTGTGGCTCAGGGGTGAGTATCGACCCATGCACCAAAAAGTCGCCGGTTAGATTCCCAGTTAGGGCACATGTCCAGGTTGTGAGCCTGATCCCCAGTGGGGGGCATGCAGAAGGCAGCCAATTGATGTTCTCTCTCATCAGTGTTTCTATCTCTCTCCCTCTCCCTTCCTCTCTCCTTAGGTGTAGGGGTGGGGAGTTAGGAGGGAATGGGAGGTATTCTTAATCAGTATGTTGTTTCTTTTTCGGGTAATAAAAATGTCCTAAAATTGGTAGTGGTTGCACAGCTCTGAATTTACTAAAAACTGACCAATTGTGTACATGGGTGACTTGTATAGTATATGAATTATATCTCAATAAAGCTGTTAAAATATTATAGACATTAAAGTGCTGGATTAACATGGAAGCCTGTTACATCTCTTGTTCTTCTTAACTTTTATAAAAGCATAGCAGTTTGAAACAGAACACAGCTTCATTTCTTTCTCAATATTTCATCACAGTTATACTTTCTTTTTTTTAAACTTATCTTTATTGTTGAATGTATTACAGATGTCCCTCCCTCCCCCCCTCACTGACCTCCCTCCTCCCCAATCTCACCCCCCTCCTGCCTTCCCCACCCTATTGTTTGTGTCCATTGGTTATACATATATGCATAGAAGTTCTTTGGTTTATCTCTTCCTGCCTTCCCTTCCCCCCTTACCTTTGAGGTTCATCATTCTAACAACCAGTTTGTACTTCTTAATTTCTTCATCTTATTTACCCATCCCCCAACCCCCTCCCATCTGGTAAGCAACAAAAAGTTCTTTCCCATCCAAGTACTAACCAGGCCTGACCCTGCTTAGCTTCCAGATCAGATGAGATTGGGCACATTCAGGGTGGTATGGCCATAGACCAAAAAATTCTCTGTATCTATGAGTCTGTTTCTGTTCTGCTTGCTAATTTTGTTTGTAGATTCAATTGTTGATAGAACGTATTAATGCCATTTTATTGTTCATATTTTTGTTCTTCTCCTTCAAGAAGACTCTTCAATATTTCATATAATACTGGTTTGGTGGTGATGAACTTCTTTAGCTTTTTCTTGCCTGGGAAACTCTTTATATGGCCATTGATTCTAAATGACAGTTTTGTAGGATAGAGTAATCATGGTTGTAGGTCGTTGCTTTTCATCACTTTGAATATCTCTTGCCACTCCTTTCTGGCCTGCAAAGTTTCTTTTGAGAAATCAGTTGAGAGTTTTATGGGAGCTTCTTTGAAGGTGACAAACTGCTTTTCTTTTGCTGCTTTTAAAATTCTCTCTTTGTGTTTAATCTCTTACATTTTGATGATGATGTGTCTTGGTGTGGACCTCTTTGGGTTCATCTCGTTTGGGACTCTCTGTACTTCCTGGATGTGTATGTCTGTTTCTTTCATCAGGGTAGGGAAGCTTTCTGTCATTTTTTCAAATAGGTTTTCAGTTTCTTGCTTTCACTCTTTTCCTGGCACCCCATGATGCAAGTGTTGGTACGCTTAAAGTTGTCCCAGAGACTCCTTACACTGTCCTCATTTTTTTTTTGATTCTTTTTTCTTTTTACTGTTTTGATTGGGTGTTTTTTACTTCCTTATATTCCAATTCGATGGTTTGCTTCTTAGCTTTACCTACTCTACTGTTGATTCCCTGTAAATTATTCTTTATTTCAGTTAGTGTATCCTTCATTTCTGACTGGTTCTTTATGTTGTTGATGTTTTCACTAAGTTCCTTGGAGTTCTCCTTAAGTTCCTTGAAGGTCTCACTGAGTTCCTTGAGCATCCTTATAACTAATGTTTGAACACTGTGTCTGCTTGAGTGCTTATCTCCATTTTGTTTAGTTCTTTTCCTGGAATTTTGTTCTATTATTTTACTTGAGACATCTTTCTTTGTCTCCTCATTTTGGCTGCTTCCCTGTGATTGTTTCTATGTATTAGGTAGAGTTGCTATGTCTCCTGGGCTTTGTAGGGTGGCCTATTGTTGTAAGTGTCCTGTAGGGTCTCCAGTGGCACAGCCTCCCTGATCACCCCAACTGGGCCTTCGAGATGTACCCCTAGTGTGGTCTGTACACCCATCTGTTGTAATTGAGTCTTAATTGCAGTCTTGATGTGGCATCTTCTTTAATTTCGTAATTGTAGGATTTCCATTCAGCTCGATGTAAGATGGTTCTCCACAGTTATACTTTCTATTTTGGCTATCATTCCATGCTTTTTTTTTTTTTTTATATAAAGAAAGAAAGGGAGAGAGAGATATAAACATTGATTTGAGAGAGAAACATCAATTGGCTGTCTCCTGCATACTCCCTACTGGAGATCGAGCCCCTAACCCAGGCATGTGCCCTGACCAGATATCGAACCGGGACCTCTCAGTCCATGAGACAACACTCAAACCACTGAGCCATACTGGTACGGCTTTCCTTTCTTTATGGGACATATTAAAATTGATACTGTATTTGCAAACTTCCTTCTGTTTAAAGTTCTTTTGTCGGAGGAAAAATGAGGAAATAGTTTGTCTCTGTATTCTAAGAACCTGATTCTCCGTGCACTATGCCTTTCCACGTACCTCTCCTGTGAATAAGCCCTGAACTTCAAAATTAGCTCTGCTCTTTGAGAAGACACACAGAAGAGTGTTGGAATAAGTCCTTATATGACGTTAAAAGAAAGGGGGAGAGAGAAAGGAAAAGAAACAATGCCCTTTTAAAATACTGCATTTGAGCCCCGCTGGGTGGCTTAGTTGGTTGGAGCATTATCCTGTACACCAAAAGGGTTACGGATTTGATCCCTGGTTAGGGCGCATACAAGAGGCAGCCAATTGATGTTTCTCTCACATAGATGTTTCTCTCTCTCCCTTCCTCTCTCTCTAAAAATCAATAAACATATCCTTGAGTGAGGATTAAAAAAATAATAAAAACAAATAAAATACAGCATTTGATGGGTAAAGATCTTTTCAAAATAGAAATATTGTTGTGCAACATTTTTTTCCTTTATTTCCTCCTTTTGTTGTGAAGATCTCTCAGTTGCAAAATCTCTTGAAGTTTTTAATCAAACCTAAGTGGCTTAGAATGAGCTATTATTAAAGCTTGCACAGCAGCTTTTCAGAAAGAAAACTGATAGGAAATCATAATTTAATCCTTACCCGAGGGTATTTTTTTTTCCCATTGATTTTTAGAGAGATTGGAAGGAATAGGGGAAGAGGAGGAAAGGGAGGGAGAAACATCAATGTGAGAGAGACATATTGATTGGTTGCCTTCCACACTCCCCCAACTGGGGCCAGGGATCAAACCTGCAACCCAGGTATGTACCATTGACTGGGAATTGAACCTGCAACCTTTTGGTGCTCGGGCTGATGCTCTAACCACTGAGTCATACTGACCAGGGCAGAAATCATAATTTTAGTTGGAATATGCAGAATAATTATGAGATTAGTGATTTTAAGAAGTTAAAACCAATTTATTTAAGAAGTTAAAACTAATTTATTGAGCATCATTATGGTATAGGTCAGGATCTAGTAAGAGCAAAGCAAAGTTATCTTTCTGACGTATGTTTTGTGATATTAGAAAGTAGCATGTATTTAAAGTAGATAAAATAAGTGTTAATCTGAAACCCCACTGTAATCACCTGCTGAGTTATAATGTCATGAATGGCAAGAATAAACTGTATCAGGAGAGGTACTCCCTTATGCATCACACATAGCAACAAGTGGCTGATTTATCAGTTGCAGAGGGCAAGAGGCTTGGCACCTTGTAGTTCACTTTCTGGGTAAGATGGATTTATCCCAGGAAGCATGCATTGCTTAAACTGCAATTTCTTTCTCTTCACATTGACTTAAAAAAAAAGAGTTTCCAAACAAGTGTGTAAAACTTTAGATTATATTTCACTGTATGACTGGAATAATATGGAGGAAGGAAATAGAATATTTGAACCAAAGGCACATTTCTCATCTAGTCTAGTGCCCTAATCCAGCAATTTTTAACCAGTGTGCCATAGAATTTTTAAAACATGCAATACCTGACAGTTTAGTCAGGGGTACTGACCTCTTTTCCTTAGATTGTCAAAGTGAAAAATGACAACAGCCAACACAATAGCCGTCTGGTGTGAATGACTCAGATTATACCTATTTTTGTAGGATCGGCAAAAAATGTAATATATTTTTTTGGTGTGCTATAGAATTTCAGTAATTACTTTGTGTGTGCCATGAGATGGAAAGGGTTGAAAATTGCTGCACTAATCTAACAGGAATAAACTGAAATGTAGCAGGATCATACTGCTTATTGGTGATGGAATATGCACTAGAAAATTAGAATATCAGTTGTCCAATAATATAAGCTATTATGATTATTTAGTCTGTGCCAGGCATGGTACTAATTATTTTATATGTTTTATCTAACTTAATCCTTATAGCATCCCTATGAAATATAGATATCTTTATTATTGCCATTTAACAGACATTGAAACTAGAACTTAGAAAGGTCAAGTTAATGGCCCAAGCCCACTATGAGTGACTGAGTAAGGACTAGAACCCATGCCTATTCCAGCCTATCCTCTTAACTGCTGTGTAGATAACAGGTAATGTCCCACAAAGCTACTAAATATTAGGTTTCTGCAGTACTGATTACTATTAGTTAAAAGAAACTAATTAGACTACCATGATAGAAAATCGCAACTCTAGGTGAATTAACAACCTCTTAGTAACTATGTATGTGATAGTCTGGATTCTAAGAAAAACAAAAGCATATGAGATTTTAGAATTTGAAATTGCTGTGGGATCTCTTTTGCCTATAGAAGACTAATTCTTCTAATAACACTAGGAGCATGCCTTCATGAAGTCTTTTGATTTGTGGGGTCTGAGAGAAAAGTGGTTTAAGGGGAACTTAAAGGCTCAGGATAGGAGGATAATAAAATCACAGTGCAGGGATACAAATCATAGAATTAATCACTAGCCCAGTGGTGTTAATTATTGAAATATATTCTAAGGGGTCCCAAATAATTATTTTCCTTATAGTGAACATCTGTTGGATGCCCTTTGTGTACTAGACACTGTGCTAAGCACTGGTATATAATAATGAACATGACATAAATAATTATAACTTGCAGTATGTGATAAGGTAGGAATAAGCACAAGGTGAACATTAAGAATAAAAAGAAGAAAAAAAAAAGAAAAAGAAGTAGGATTAATTATGTAAGATGGACAGGAAAGGCCTCTTGGAGAAGGCAACTTCATGAAGACCTGCAGGATGAGATGAAAGCCAGGCCTATTAATTGCCAGAAGAGCTACCAGCTATAATTTCTAAAGAACTTTTATGTTTGGAAAGCCTGTGGGCATGGAGCAAAGTAGGAGAGTAAAAAGGTGAGGGGAACCTATGAGATGAGACTAGAAAGGTAGGTAGGGCCAGGTCAAGTAGGTCTCCTTGGCCATGGCAGAGAGTTTGGATTTTAAATATGGTAAATGATCTGATTGGTGTTTAAAAAAACACTTCTGGCTTCTGTGTATAAATTGGATCAGTAGAGCCAATAAGGAAGCAAGGAGATTTAGGAAACTTGCTGAAGTCATTATGAAGTATGATAACGGCTTAAACTTGGATGATAGCAATGACAGTGGAGAAAATGAATCAGGCTGTGTTTTATTTATTTATTTTTTTAGCCTCACCCGAGGACATTTTTCCATTTTTTGTTCAGATAGAGTGGGAGGGAGAGAGAGGAAGAGAGAGAGAGAGAGAAACATTGACGTGAAAGGGACACATCAAGTGGTTGCCACCCGCACGACCAACCAGGGCTGGGGACAAACTGCAACCGAGGTACATGCCCTTAGCAGGAACCGAACCCGGGTCTCTCTGAACCGCAGGCCGACGCTCTAACCGCTGAGCCAAACCAGCCAGGGCCAGGCTGTGTTTTAGAAAGAAAAGACAGGACCTTGTAATGAATGTGGAGGGTAAAGGAAAGGAAGGAAGCAAGGATGCTTGAACAACTGGGTGGATAGTGGTGCTGCTTACTTAAAGGGAAATCTGGAGGAAAAACAGATTTTGGAAGAAAACTCAAGAGGTCCATTTTACAGGTTTGAGATATGTGAAGGGCATTGCAGACTTACTGTTTTTACAGATCAGGAATGGAGACAAGAGGGGTGGGTCTTTATTACATTCTTCCTGCTTCTCTTAAGCCTTAGAAGCCCCTTAGCACCTCACCTTATTAGTGGCTAACAATATAGTGTTTTGCATACTCTTGTTCATGTTTGCAGTCAACAGAGCGATGAACTTAATTGAAGAAAACAGATGAGCCTGAGAAAATACTGCCGCCAAAATACTGTTATTTAACTAAACTCCCTCTTTCAACTCTTAATTTCATTTCACTAATGAAAAACCGTAACATTTTAATTATATTTATGCTCAAAATTTTGTGTTGCCATTTCATCATTATTGTTTTCATTTTTATACCCTTTTTTATCTTTTAGATCCATGTAAAAGCTCATTTTGACTATGACCCTTCAGATGACCCATATGTTCCATGTCGAGAGTTAGGTCTGTCTTTTCAAAAAGGGGATATACTTCATGTGATCAGTCAAGAAGATCCAAACTGGTGGCAGGCCTACAGGGATGGGGATGAAGATAATCAACCTCTAGCTGGGCTTGTTCCAGGTAAGAACAGTATTATAGAAAGTGCATACATAGTTAAAAGAACATTTTGAAAGCAGATCTTCAGAAAGGAAACTCTCTTTTTCATGCCTTTAAAAAAATGATGTGATTACTTTTTCATGTAGTTTTGTTTTTATATTGTATCTGTAGCATAAGTATCTTGAATATAATTGTGACCAATTTGTTGGGCTTCAGAATGAAATTATGATGCAATGTAATATTTACATTTATTCTTTATGTGTATAATAAAGTTACAGAAAGTCACAAGTCCATCTGCTTTTAAACCCAAAAGCTGGAAATAAGCTTTGTCTATATTTGGTCATATCTCAAGAAGGGAGGAATGAGCTTCTTATATTAAGTTGAGTGTGTGACAATATACCCCTGATTCTTCACAGTAACAGTTGTAGGATGATCCTCTGGAATCCTGGAGTATTGGACAGCCATCATGGTTCTCTACTCAGTACTTCTGCCAAATGTCAGTTTGATCTCTTCTTACCATGCCAGCCTTAGCCCATAAATATTTAGAACTGCCTTTATTTACGGATTGATTACATTGAGTTTCTGAAAGTATATAGATGAGTTAGGGAGATTTCAGTGATATCATTTGCAAGTCTTTTATTGGACAAATAAACAGACCCACCTATGTTTGAATTTGATAATGGTTTTCTGTTAGAAGGATTTTTAAGAGGTCATAATGTCCATCTCCCATTAATGTCTGCTTCTATTTCAAAAGTAGTTTCACGTGTATAGTATTAAAACATGTCATAGAAGTATAGTACCGTAATGCTTTTAAACATTTTAATATGTAAATGATTAAAATTATTTTATTCCTTATTTTTTAATCTGTTAAAAACAAATACTCTTTTTTTTAAAGTTTAATGCTCATAAGATTTTCTGTCTAGTCATAGTTACTTGTTTCACTAGAAATGCCATCTTAACAGCTCCTAGAGATAACCTATTTTCCTTTAATGCTTATGTGTGTCAAACTCATTACTAATATTTTCACTTGTGCTTTTATGAAATATACTACATTCTACAGATTATTCCAGTGTAGATGAAAATTGTCTATTGATTTTTAAGAATCTCAGGCTTAAATGGAAAGAAGCAGATATAAAAACTAAATATAAAAGTAGACCTCTAATACAGAATTGTTGAAGTAAAACTATTTTAGCCGTCAGAAAAAATACATTTGGTTTTAAAGTAGATGTCTTAAAAGAAGACAAAGGTCAGAAACCTTGAAAACCTATATTAAAAGCTTATTTCTGAGAGGGAAAACAGTATGTTTTTCATTTATTTGTATCATTAGTAAAGGTGGAAATTTTAAAAATTAAACATGCCTGGCCGGTGTGGCTCAGTGGTTGAGCATCGACCCATATACTTAGAGGTCGCTGGTTCAGTTCCCTGTCAGGGCACATGCCTGGGTTGCAGGGTGCAGCTGATTGATGTTTCTATCTCTCTCTCTAAAAATCAGTAAAAAAAATAGTTTAAAAAATATATATATATACATACAATGAAAAAGAGGGGTAGAGAATAATAAATGCAAGGGAACACATTCAGTGGTGTCTTCAAATAAAAAAGTGATGAATGTTCACATATTATTTTGGAAAGTTAACTCCTAGAATGAATTTGCTTGATTTTAGATAATTCTGAATGATCAGAACTGTTGTTAAGATCCAGCATAGTACTTTCCACTTAGTAAATGCTCAATGAAAGCTTTGTAAAAATTGAACTGTTGAATTTCCTAACACTAGTTTATTATTTATCTTTTCTAGTAGGTAATGTATTCTAGTAATACATGTCTTAGGATTGGTTGAGAGTGAGGTTGAAACTAATACATTAAACATTTGGAGGCTTATTTATAATTACAGCTGACATACTCTTATAGATTGCAGAAGGAATTAGAAGGGAATATAAATGGTTACTTCCGGTGTTTTCTCTTGGTTTAAGAAAATATACTTCTTTTGTCTTAAATATTTTACTCTTTTTTCCTTTCTGCTATTAAGGGAAAAGCTTTCAGCAGCAAAGGGAAGCCATGAAGCAAACCATAGAAGAAGATAAGGAGCCAGAAAAATCAGGTTGGACATTTTTATTTGACATTAATGTGAGGTTTCTTGGATCTTCATCTGGAACCATGTTTAAATTTACATATCAGAACTGGCAAGAAAGATGTTTTCATGGCAAGAGTGATGTGAAAGACAAAACTGATTATCTTAGAACTGTAAAGAGAGGAGAGGATTTAAATATTAAAGATTGTTGGTCTATAATGTAAGATTAATGGAAAATTGTAAATACTTCCCTGAAGAATAGTTCTGTGAACAATGTACTACATGTTTATAAATTTAAATTTAAAACTATTTGAGTTTTTCAATTTGAAGTATGTAGCTTTGTTCAGGGAAACATACCACATTTATAGTTATGCTTATTATTATTCAACAGGAAAACTGTGGTGTGCAAAGAAGAATAAAAAGAAGAGGAAAAAGGTTTTATATAATGCCAATAAAAATGATGGTAAGTTCCACTCTTAGAGATAGCTGTATTTATATCTGAAAGAGACCCACTATTTAGGACTTGAAAGAAATTAAGTTGATATTTTCAGAGAATTTTGTTTCTAGTCCCATTTTGCCTCTTAGTATAACACAATGGAATCCTACGAGTAATACAGTTTTTTGAATTATGAGTAAAACTGATATAAAAATTAACGTGATTAACATATATAGTATTATATTGATATTTCTCTAATTTTGAGGAAATTGAATTGAAATTTCTGTAATTCTTTTCTACTTAAACTCTTTATTTGCAAAATTAATACGTGCTTCTAACAAATTCTAACAATATAGCTGTATTTTAAGTAAACAGTGAATATTTTGTCTAGAATAACTCCTGTCACCAAGACAACCCATTCCACAGAGCTGCTACCTGCTGGCACAGTCAGATACACAGGAGAGTTTTTTATTTTTTATTTATTTGTTTTTTAAACTTATATTTATTCTCCTGTTTTAGATTTTTTTTTTTTTTTAATCCTCACCCGAGGACATTTTTCCATTTTTTGTTCAGATAGAACGGGAGGGAGAGAGAGGAAGAGAGAGAGAGAGAGAGAGAGAGAAACATCGATGTGAAGGGACACATCGAGTGGCTGCCACCCGCAGACCAACCAGGGCCGGGGACAGACTGCAACCGAGGTACGTGCCCTTAGCGGAAACCGAACCCGGGTCTCTCTGTACCGCAGGCCGACGCTCCAACCGCTGAGCCAAACCGGCCAGGGCAGGAGAGTTTTTTATTTTAAAGTTGTAGTTTCTCTTAAAATCAAAAGCTCTAATAACATGTGGCTCATATTCCCTAGTGACAATACTCTGCTGGACCTGAGTGATGGCTATTGTCTTTATATCGGGCACCTACTGTCAACAGTTTCCACAACATCCAGTTTTTATAAGCTGATCCTGATTTACTGCTTTCATTACCTTCTTGATTGGTCCTTATGAGCATTAGATATGCTACCTGTGTTTTGGTTCATGTTAGAAACAAGTCAAATAATAAAATCAAGGCAACCCTTCTTAAACAATTTATAAGGCTTATTCTCATAATACCTTGAAGGTTTTTTTAGGCAGCATAAATTAAACCAATGAAAATAAAATGTTATAGGTTATTGAAAAACTCCATATAAAACTAAATCTGAGCCCTGGCCAGTTTGGTTCAGTGGTTAGAGCGTGGGCCCGTGGACCAGAAGTCTGGGTTCGGTTCCTGTTGAGGGTGTGTACCTCAGTTGCGGTTCTTCCCCAGCCCTGATTGGGGTCGTGCAGGAGGCAACAAGTCGATGTCTCTCTCTCACATCGATCTTTCTCTCTTTCTCTCTCTCTCTCCCTCCCACTCCGTCTGAAGATAAATGCAAAAAAATGTCCTTGGGTGAGGATGATTAAAAAAAACACACAAAAAAAACTAAATCTGAGATTCCATCTACTTTAATGTAATTTTTTCCAAAATAAATACCCTTAATGCTAATTGATATATTATGTAACTAAGATTTATTGAATTGTTAGTCCTTTCCTCCATACTTGGGTAAGTGATTAATATCTGGTTTTATCTTTTGAAACACTAAAATGAATCGATTCAGCTCTAATAGCTATTATACTCTAGAAATTTTGCAAATCTGAAGTCTACAGATTATAAACTAAGTCTGTAAATCACAATGCTGCCACAGTCTGATTATACATGTTAGAAGAAGGGACTCAAATTTTTCAGAGTGAAAAGCTTTTTGGGAAGGGAAGGTGTCATCATAATTAATATTTTTATTAATAATAACCATAATTTAGAATAACTTTTATGTTTTAGATGCTTTGATCCATTTAGTTCTCATAATTCCTTGAGAGTACAGATTAATAAATTCAAACTCTGCCTGGCCAGTGTGGCTCAGTAGATTGAGTGTTATCCCATGGACTGAGAGGTCCTAGTTCGATTCCGGTCTGGGCACATGCCCAGGTTGCAGGCTCGATCCCCAGTAGGGGATGTACAAGAGGGGCCTGATTGATGTATCTGTCTCACATCAATGTTTCTATCTCTCTCTCCCTTCCTCTCTCTCTAAAAAATCAATAAAAACATATTAAATAAATTAATTAAAGCTTGGATATTAAAGAGATCTGCTTAAATTCTTACAGCTAAGATATAGTTGAGCTGAAATTTAAACAAATATAGTTTGAGTTCCTACTCTGCTAAGTACTGACAAGACTAAGATGGTCCCCTGCCCCCATGGAACTTACAGCTGAGAGAGTCTGACTACCTATCTGATGCTCTTTCCCAGTCAGATGAACTAGTACTAGTGAGAAGGTGGCAGGCTGCTCTCTGTCTTTGTTCTTACCACTTAACAGCTCTGATTTCATCTGAATTATGGGCTTTAGGAATGTTACCCCACCTATCATAATTTATACCTCTTCTTGAATCGTGACCTCAGGTATTCCAGAACAAAGTAAATATAAATGCAGGAAGTGTGAATAGCACAGATATGACCTGTTTTCAAGTTACATAATCACAGAAAAGTATTCAGCTTTCTCTGATACCACTGGTTATAGCCACTATTTATGAATGTTTGTGCTAGATATTATGCTCAGCATGCACATTATGTCTGATCCTTAAACCCTCTAACTAAAGTGTTAGTATCCCCATTTTACAAAAATGATAGCTATTATTCTCATTAGTTTAACCCCTGGTTCCCCACCCTCTGTCAAAGTATTGGCTGCAAACTAGTTATTTTACATAAGAATCAGTATAGTGATATTGTATTAAACATTCAAATAGTGTATGAACAAGAGAAGCAATAAAAAATTTTTTTTTTTATCCTCACCCGAGGACATTTTTCCATTTTTTGTTCAGGTAGAGTGGGAGGGAAAGAGAGGAACAGAGAGAGAGAGAGAAACATCGATGTGAAAGGAACACATCGAGTGGCCACCACCCGCACAACCGACCAGGGCCGGGGACAAACTGCCACCGAGGTATGCGCCCTTAGCGGAAACCGAACCCGGGTCTCTCAGGACCGCAGGCCGACACTCTAACCGCTGAGCCAAACCGGCCAGGGCTAAAAATTTTTTAGAACGATTACTACATTGTCTAATTTACTTTCATAGTATCCTGGAAAGGATATAATGACATGGGAAAATACTCATAATACTATCTTGATCCAAGAAGTTAAGTGTTTTTAATAATAAATTGTGCTCTTTCCAATTTTTTTTGGCAGATCTGTGAGTATATGCTTATTACATAGCAATAATTCTGTCTGAAGGGCTTAACTTTTTCTTTTTCTAAAGATTATGACAATGAAGAAGTCTTAACTTATGAAGAAATGTCACTTTATCATCAGCCAGCAAATAGGAAAAGACCTATAATTCTGATTGGTCCACAGAACTGTGGCCAGAATGAATTGCGTCAGAGACTCATGAACAAAGAGAAAGACCGCTTTGCATCTGCAGTTCCTCGTAAGTTTGGATACATTCCCATTTTCCTGTGCTTTTCAGTTTACCACCTTAGAAGCTAACTATGTAGGGAAAATTTTCATCCATTTTGTTAAAACAATGTTGTCCAGGAAAAAACTTAGTTTAACCACATCTTCTTAAGAAATTTCAATTTTTCCTTAGAATATGGTACTAGTTACATTCTAAATGAATTTCATTTTACATTTCTTATAATTCCCTGTTCAATGTGGAATCAACTTCTGGTTTTTTAAACTGATGCAGAAGACAGGAATTTAGACATAATCTCTGAACACAGAAGTTCCGTTTAAAAGTTACATGATATGTTATATAGCACCTAATCCTGTGGAAATAAACTTCAGGAAAAGGTGAGTATTAGTGTTTTAAATGCAAGATGAAGTAATTTAAAATGTATTAAGTTATAAATGTAACTATTAATAAGATACTAAAAACACATTTTTGTTCATTTTTCAATCTGGAAACAAAACCAGTGTTAAACACATGGGCTCTTAACATTTCTTCAACTTACTGTTTTATAATCTCTATTATAAAATTAAAAATGTTTCTGATTAATAGAATTATCCCTATCCTTACTCTGATCCATGTCAATAATTTTTACCTGATTTTGTTTACCCAGATACAACTCGCAGTAGGCGAGACCACGAAGTAGCCGGTAGAGATTACCACTTTATTTCTCGGCAAGCATTCGAGGCAGACATAGCAGCTGGAAAGTTCATTGAGCATGGTGAATTTGAGAAAAATTTGTATGGAACCAGCATAGATTCTGTACGGCAAGTGATCAACTCTGGGAAAATATGTCTTTTAAGTCTTCGTACACAGGTAAAGCTGTTTTGATTTAGGGTGTTGAATTTGAGGACATTTTTTGCAAAGTACTTTAGTGAAAACTATTTTGGTCCAAGAACCACAGGACCTAATTAAATTCTTAGAACAGTTTTTTCCCACTAAGTCCCTATGTGAAGTCAGACAGATTGCTATCTCAGTTTCCTCAGAGAGTAAAATACATACCTACATATATACACCTACATATTTTGTATAATTTAATACAGTAACTGTAGTACTGGTAGTACTTTAGGATTTTAGAGGTTATAAAAATTTCCCTTCTCTGATTCTGATCTGAGAAATATTAGAATAGAGGTCATATTTATAGTTTTAAATACCGTAGTTCAAGTATTAGTAAATATCATAATGAATACTTAGTTGTATTAAATAATGAAACTTCTATTGGTTTCTATTACTCGACATACCAAGCAAAAATTAAAAATGACTAACAATTGCTCTTAGATTTCCATTAAAAATAAAATATTTTTAGAAAAGTGGGATTATTAAGGTTGTTTTTTGTGGAAAAGGTTTTTTAGACTACTGGACAGCTTCAGCATAAAACTTTCCTTAATGTGGTAGAATCTACTTTGTATGTAAACTGAGGAAACATAAGCAGTAGTCATTAAATAGATGTACCAGAAGGGAAATTGACTCTGAAATGGCTCTTTTGAGCCTGGGCTGAGAAGCTTAGTTGATTGGTGCATCATCCGGTATACCAAAAGGTTGTAGGTTAGTTCTCGATCAGAGCACATACCTAGGTTGCAGTTTTGTTCCCCCGTCAGGGTGAGTATAGGAGGCAACCAATCAATGTTTCTTTCTTACGTCAATTTCTCTCTCTCTCTCTCTCTCTCTCTCTCTGCTTCTCTCCCTCCCTCCCTCCCCCCCCCTCCCCCCCCTCTCTCCTCTCTCTCTGCTCTCTCTATCCCTCTCTCTTTCCTCTCTCTCTGCTCTCTCTATCCCTCTCTCTCTCCTCTCTCTCTCTCTCCTTGATAAAAACATATCCTCAGGCCTGGCTGGTGTGGCTCAGTGGTTGAGCGTCAACCCATGCACCAAGGGGTTGCCAGTTCGATTCCCAGTCAGGGTACATGCCCAGGTTGTGGGCCAAATCCCCAATGGGGGGCATGCAGGAGGCGGCCAATCAGTGTTCTCTCTCATCAATGTTTTTGTTTGTTTTTTAATCCTCACCCGAGGACACTTTTTCCATTTTTTGTTCAGATAGAGTGGGAGAGAGAGAGAGAAACATCAATATGAAAGGGACACATTGAGCAGCTGCCACCCGCATGACCCAGCCATGACCGGGGACAAACTGCAACCGAGGTACGTGCCCTTAGCGGGAACCGAACCCGGGTCTCTCTGGACTGCAGGTCGATGCTCTAACTGCTGAGCCAAACTAACCAGGGCTCATCGATGTTTTTATCTCTCCCTCTCCCTTGCTTTCTCTCTAAAATCAATAAAGGGGGGAAAATTTTTTTTAAAAACACAAAAACATATCCTTGGGTAAGGATTAAAAAACAATAATAAAAATAAATAAAATGGCTCTCTTGAAATAGTAATTAGGTTTTATTTATTTATTTTTTTAGTGGTCACAAGCATTTAGTCTCTTACTATTTCAATTATAAACACTTAAGAGAAGTTTAAATGTTTTTACTAAATTTCTTCAGAATTCTTATATTATGTGGTCTAGTAGATGTACCAAAGAACATAGAGAAGTTAAACATATTGTCTTAGTAATGTTTTTAGGTTAAAAGTGGGGGCCATGCCCTGTAATTCCCATTTTGATGGAGTGCTTCAGTTTACGGCACATGCAGTGGCAACGGTGAGATGAAAGCCACACCTCCTAATTCAGACAGTCTTTTTCTTGGATGTGCTTTTCCAGAATTTATGTGTGTGTGAAATTTTTTTCTCAGCTTGTGCTTGCATTTAGACCCTGGCACATTGTAAGGTGATTGCTCATTTCTAATTTCTCTAAAATGGATTTTTTTTTTTTTTTTTTTTTATCCTCACCCGAGGATATTTTTCCATTTTTTGTACAGATAGAGAGGGAGGGAGAGGAAGGGAGAGAGAGAGAGAAATATCGACGTGAAGGGACACATCGAGTGGCTGCCACCCGCACGACCAACCAGGGCCGGGGACAAACTGCAACCGAAGTACGTGCCCTTAGCGGGAACCGAACCCGGGTCTCTCCGGACCGCAGGCCGATGCTCTAACCGCTGAGCCAAACCGGCCAGGGCTAAAATGGATTTTTAATATGGTTATTACAATCTTCGTGTGATCTTATGAGCAGGGTTGTAGATCATATAGTTGTAATCCTTTGGTGTCAGTTCATTTCTATTTCATTACATAAACAGAGCAAGCCAATATTATGTGTATGTGTGTTTATGTGTGATTTTATAGGTACACAATATATTTTAATAGTGAATGGTAGGATCTTAAAATATTGTGAATTTTGTGTTATGAAGATGTTTTGAAACACTGATAGGTTGTTTGTTTTTAAATGACATTGTTATATTCCAAGTATATTATTGGAGAGTAATTAAAAGATGAAAATTATTTTAAAGACCCAAAATATCTTTTCTTTTCAGTCATTGAAGACTCTCCGGAATTCAGACTTAAAACCATATATTATTTTTATTGCACCCCCTTCACAAGAAAGACTTCGGGCATTGTTGGCCAAAGAGGGCAAGAATCCAAAGGTAAAGTTATTATACTGTTCCTTTGAAAATGAACATGAACCAGTCATAGCTTCCTATGTCACAATACTTAAAAGCTTAAAATGCTTGAGCTTTCAAACTGATACTTCTTTCTGTCATATTACTTTGTCCAAAATTGCCATGGGTGCCTCTGATTGGACAATGGCAGCTCAAAGAAGGTGGCTTCTCCTGTGGTTTCCCACACATTCTCTGCTGTTACCCCAAATGTACGGAAAGCTTTGGCATTTCTTATCACTTCCTAATCTTCACATAGGTGTATGTTATTTCCAGCAGGGATTATATGACACCCCTTACACACAAAAAAGGATTCATCATATTCTTAGGGATTGCCCACTTTTCTCTAGATATTCTACATGTGTGGGGAGCCAGCATTGAGTGCTCTTGTCTTTTTCTTTTTTCTCATTGAAATTCTATGTTCTAGTTGTCTCCTCCCTTTAGTCTTCTTACACGATCTGAAATGGAAAAATTTTTTAATTATTTTAGATGCTCAATATGGTTGAAGTAGTAGTCCATAGTATATTAAATATTATTAATAATTAAATGATAATATATTTATAGAAAGCATTGACTTTTTATTTAAATGTGAAATAAAAACTGTCATGTGAGAATTGTTATGTCAAAATAACAAATACTCTTTCTTGGTTTTTGCTGATTTTTAAAAATATTTTGATTTAACAGAGGAATGACTCATCTCATTTCCTTTGCTGTGCTTCGAAATCTCCTTAAAAGCCATTATAAAACGTCTAATAATGCTCTTCCTTGAAAGCTTTAAAAGTCATTCAGAGTATAACAGCACACCTTTTCTCTGATTCTTGACTTCACTGAAGCTGTCAGCCCTCCTTGTTCTACCTCAAGATAACATTTTTCACTCTAAGTCTACTTACATTTCTTATTCAATCTATACATATGGGAAGGTAGTATTTTTCAATGTCTTAGGCTATAGACACCAGGGAATTTACCATCCTACATGTTGAATATAATGTTTAGGCTAAGTAGACTAGGTGTTTAAAGTAATGTTTCATCCTTATTTTAATCTTTTTTTTTTTTTATCCTCACCCGAGGTCATTTTTCCATTTTTTGTTCAGATAGAGTGGGAGGGAGAGAGAGGAAGAGAGAGAGAGAGAGAGAAACATCGACGTGAAAGGGACACATCGAGTGGCTGCCACCCACACGACCAACCAGGGCCGGGGACAAACTGCAACCGAGGTACGTGCCCTTAGCGGGAACAGAACCCGAGTCTCTCTAGACCGCAGGCCGACACTCTAACTGCTGAACCAAACCAGCCAGGGCTCATCCTTATTTTATTTTTTGCAACACAACTCTAAGTTCATAAATTAGTGGTGTCAGAGTATCTGTTGTCCTTAGCACTGGGGATGATACAAAAGAAATATGAGACATGATCACTTGCTGTTCTTGAGAAGGATCACAACATACAATAAGGAAAACAAGATTACTATTTCATGAAACTTAGGGCCCAGTAACTACTTTGGTAAATAAGAAATCCCATGATTGTCCAGCAGTGTGGCTCATTGGTTGAGTGTCGACACATGCCCAGGTTGTGGGCCCGATCCCCAGTGAGGGGCATACAGGAGGCAGCCAGTCGATGTTCTCTCTCATCGATGTTTCTCTCTCTCCCTCTTCCTTTGTTTCTCTCTAAAATCAATAAAGAAAAAAAATAAATAACATGGTTGTTCAAGGAAAGGGATGCCCCTTAAGGACCAGTGAACTGCATTCTACTTATTCAGCCTTATTTTCTATTTTTAAGCAGGCACACTTTCTTTAGTCGGGTTGTTATTCTCCAACCAGGACTCAGTATCATGACAAGGACTGTCTCTGGCGTGCTCTCATGGAATTTTTTTACCTACTTTATTTTGAATTAGCCATCCAAATTGAGGCCTAGAAAGATACCAATTACACCCCCCCCCCCTTCCTGAAGAAGACTGGTTTATTTAAAAAAATTTTTTTTTCTTTATTGGTTTGAGAGAGAGAGAAACATCAATTAGAGAGAACATCAACTGGCCACCTCCTGGATGTCCCCCACTGGGGATCTGGCCCACAACCTGGGCATGTGCCCTGACCGGGAATCAAACTAGTGACCTCTTGGCGCATGGTTTGATGCTCAACCACTGAGCCACACTGGCCAGGCCTAGTTATATATATTTTTAAAGCATGGACTTAATCAGTACCAAAATATTTGAATGGTATACAGTATTCTTGATTTTCTAATTAGAATTTTCTAATTTTTTTTTTTTAATCCTCACCCGAGGATTTTATTTTTCCATTTATCTTCAGACAGAGTGGGAAGGAGAGGGGAGGGGAGAGAGAGAGAGAAAGAGAAACATTGATGTGAGAGAGACATATTGACTGGTTGCCTCCCTACATGACCCCAACCAGGGCTGGAGATTGAACTGTAGCCAAGGTACTTGCCCTTGGCCGGAATCAAACCCGCAACTCTGGTCTGTGAGTTGTGCCAAGCCAGCCAGGGCAGGAATTTTCTAATTTTTATTTATTTATTTATTTATTTTTATTTTATTTATTTTTTATTCTCACCCGAGGACATTTTTCCATGTTTTGTTCAGATACAATGGGAGGGAGAAAGAGAGAGAGAGAGAAACATCGACGTGAAAGGGACACATCGAGTGGTTGCCACCCGCGCGACCCAACCAGGGCTGGGGACAAACTGCAACCGAGGTACGTGCTCTTAGCGGGAACCGAACCCGGGTCTCTCTGGACCACAGGCCGATGCTCTAACCGCTGAGCCAAATCGGCCAGGGTGGAATTTTCTAATTTTTAAAAATCAACTTTATTGAGGTTACTTTACATAAATAAAATACATACATTTTAGTTGTATAATTCAGTGATTAGAGCATTTCCATCACTCGAAAAAATTTTCTCATGCCCCTTTAAAGTTAATATCCCTCCATTCTTCCCAAGGCAACCACTAAGTCTGCTTTATGTCACTATAGATTTGTTTTTTGTCTGTTTTTGAAGTTAATATAAATGGGACCACACAGTATGTTCAAGTTTGCGTATGGCTCTGTCAACATAGTGTTTTGAGATTCATCTATGTTGCATCTAACAGTAGTTCATACTTACTATTGCTAAGTGCTATATATACCATGATCTAAATACATCACAGTTTGTCTATTCACTACTTAAAAACCATTTGGGTTGTTTCCAGTTTTTAGCTAGTATGACCAAAGCTGCCCTAGACATTCATAGTCTTTCAGTGGACATATGTTTTTATCCTCTTGAATTGCTGGAGCAAGTGCTGAGTGCATGCTCAACTGCATAAAAACTGCCAAAATGTGTTAAAAACAGTTTGCTATTTTATGCTACCATTTTGGTTCCATTGGCTCCACAGCTTTCCCAACTTTTGCTGCTGTTGGATTGTAACAGTTTTTTAGTTCTAATAGGTGTGGATTGTTAATCATTTTGCATTTTCCTGATGACTGATGATAGCTTCTTTTCACATAGTCGTTTCGGCGTGTTCTTTTGTGAATTGTGTCAAGTTTTATTTTTTAAATTGTTTTTTTCTTTTTTTTTTTTTTGTATCTGGATATAAAAATTTTTCAAATCTTTTATCTTTTTAATGATTTTTTTAAAGTTCAGAAATGTTAAATCTTAATAAAGTATACTTTTTCATTTTTCTTATGGTTGATGATTTTTTTTTGTACTAAAACAGTGTCTAGTCCAAGATTATAAAAATGTTATCCTTTTAGCCCTGGCCGGTTTGGCTCAGTGGTTAGAGCGTTGGCCTGCTGTCCAAAGAGACCTGGGTTCGGTTCCCACTAAGGGCACATATCTTGGTTGCAGTTTGTCCCCGGCCCTGGTTGGGTCCTGCGGGAGGCAGCCACTCGATGTGTCCCTTTCACATCGATGTTTCTCTCTCTCTTCCTCTCTTTCCCTCCCCCTCTATCTGAACAAAAAATGGAAAAATGTCCTCGGGTGAGGATTAAAAAAAAAAAAGTTATCCTTTTATTCTAAAAGCTTTCTTGTATTAGCTTTTACTTTTAGGTTTGTGATCTGTCTCAGGTTCCTCTCTGTTTTAGTGTGAGGTAAGTGTGTTTTGGTTTGTTTTTTAAATCACATGTGGATATGCGCTTGCTCTAGAATCATTTCTGGAGTGAGGGCGACTATCCTTTCTCCCACTGAATTACATTGGTACTTTTGTTAAAAATGACCTGACCAAATATGGGGGAAAGGTGGTATGGGGTAGATTATGGATTATTTCTTGATTCTGTTCAGTATTTATGCTAATACTGTACTGTCTTGATTCCTGTAGCCTTATTGTGGGTCTTGGGAAACTATCATGAAAAGGAATGAAGTACTGATACACAGTACAACATAGACCATATATGGTATGATTCCATTTTATGGAATGTCCAGGATAGGCAAATCAACAGAGGCCTGTAGATTGGTGGTCGCCTAGAGATGGGGGCGTGGCTGCTAATGGGTATAGTTTGAAGGGAGCCGTGAGTGATAAAAATGTTCTGAAATGGAATTGTGTTGGTTGCATAACTCTCACTATACTAAAACCTGTTGAATTGTACATTTTAAATGGGTGAATGTAAATGAATTATATATCAAGAAAGCTGTTACCATTTAAAAATATCTCAGCAGGCTTTATTGTAGAAATTGGAAAGATTTTAAAATGTATATGGAAATTTAAAAGAATAAACAAAACCCTTTAGAAAAATAACTAAGTTGACTTTTGTCTGTTAATTTTTTTTTTGTCTGTTTTCTATTGAATTGACTTGTCTTATTTTTATTCTTTTATTGTAATTTGGCACTAATTTGTACTTGCTCTACTGTCTGAAAAAAACTTAGGTTTTAAATCTTTTCTAACATGAAGCTACAAATTGCTAAGCAGTTCTTTAGTTGCATCCTATAGATTTTGAGGTTATATTTTTTCATTATTATTTTGTTATAATTCTAATTTTTTACATTTTCTTTTTTAACACATGGGTTAATTAAAAGTATGTAATTTCCACCTATTCGGAGGTTTCAAAAAATATTTTTTTTATTTATAATTCCATTGTGATCAAACAACATACTCTGTAAAATGTCAGTCTTTTAAATTTGTTGAACTTTGATAGCCCAACATGTGTTCTATCTTGGTGTATGTTCCATGCACACCAGTAAGAATGTGTGTTCTGCATTTGTTGGGTAGAGGGTGATGTATCTGATTGCCTTTTAATTTCACTTATGTTTTATCTCCTTTGATATTTCCAGTAGTGCTTTATCACTCACAAATTAGAAGTATTGAATAAAATCAAATCCTCAGTTTTAAGAAAATAAAATTGTGCTAGTTAGGGAAGTGAAGGTGTTTCTCTGGATGCAAAATGTAAACATCAGTTATCTGATTGTACTCTGACTCTTGGCATCTGTTCTGTTAAAAGGGGGCTTGAGAGTGGTAAACTGATAGTACGAACTTAAACACTTTCCCTATAGGTTAATTTTGTTGGTCCAGTTTTTTGTTTAAAAACATTTTGTTTCATTCATGAATTATAAGTTGAACAATAAGAGGAAATTAAATTTAAGTAATATAAGCCATTTTGACAAAAGATAAAATAATGCCTTAAATTTGATAAAGAAAAACTAGGTAGATTGGATATTTGTGTGAATTTATGTAAGGTATGAGACTTAACATTTACATTTTAACTCTAGCACCACAAAGGTTAGATTCTGAGTTCTAGAATGTTCTTTCAATAACCTTAAATTTTGAGTAGACATAAGTTTAAGCAAGAATGGTGGTGTGTTCAATTACAATAGTGTAGCCGAGTCCCTGTCAGGGAACAAAGGCTTCTGTGTACCAGAGCCAGACGCACGACATTCCAGAGTGAAAATGAGAGAGCTGCACAGGGAACTGCCTCAGGACAGGCCAGAGCTGCACTATTTCTAATAGGTTTGCCTACTGTTGCAGAAGCCCAACCAGTTGAATGATATCAATTGTTTTGTATTGTGGGTCCAATATAGTATTGATATATGACTTTTGTATCTGAGACATTTGGACCTGAGTTTAACTAGTTGTCTTTATTGATGGGTGACTTGGAGGCAGTCTCACTTTCTTGAACAATTGTGTCTGGTAATCAGAGGCACATAGCTTTACCCCCTGCTTCTCTATGAGAAACAGTTGTTTCCCTTACCCAGTATTTTCAATTAGCCTGCTCTATATCTTTCCCAAACTCATCTTAGAATACTTTTAGCATCTTAAAGACCTCCCTTGTATATTGAAAACAATAGCAATTTAACATATTAAGCTGAGTTTTCCCCAAAAGGATATATATACAGTTGACTTTGGAACAATGGGGTTTAGAGGCATTGATCCCTGTACAATCAAAAATCCTGTATAAGTTTTGACAGCCCCCCAACTTAACTATGCTCTGTGTCTGTGGGTGATTGGTTTGAGGGCCCCTCATGGATACCAAGTTCCCCATATAAAATGGTGTAGATTAATACAGTTGGTCCTCCGTATCCACAGACTCCCAGCCACAGATCGTAAACAGTTATAGATATTTATTGAAATAAATCTGCATGTAAGTGGACCTGTGCAGTTCAAACCCATGTTATTCAAGGGTCAGCTGTATTCAATTTTTAAATCTTGGGTTGACCATCAGTATTTTCATAAAAAAAGATACCCATTCTATTGATCCTTTGCTTTTCTAACAGTGTTTAATTTGTCTAATTCTACAATAAAGAACAGGGGCTCTGTAAGAGCCAAGAATAGTTGGCACTTTGAGTCCTGTCACTCTTGCTCCAACCAAAAAGGTTCACTCTGTGTTACAAAAGATGTTATTTTTAGGAAATGCTCTAAAATATTTAAAAATGAATGTCTGTGGGGAACTCAGAGTAACAGTATGTGCTCTTGAAGTCTTGTGGGTAAGATGAAACAGAAATGTATAAAAACCTAAATTGCAGTATAAACAGGTTATATTGCATCCAAAATGATTTGCAGTGTGAGTCCTGAATATAGCAGAACAAAGGAAGTCACTCTGGCCATGACAGGGCTGGGAAGGAGCTCCTGAGGTGGAGTATTTTGAGAGGAGGAAAGCAGTGTACAGTTATTTCTTTGTTCTTTGGCCATCTTTGGTAAGGAGTTAACTTCAGTTTTTTCTACTTTTTACAGCCAGAAGAGTTGAGAGAAATCATTGAGAAAACTAGAGAGATGGAGCAGAACAACGGTCACTACTTTGACACAGCAATTGTGAATTCAGATCTTGATAAAGCCTATCAGGAATTGCTTAGGTTAATTAACAAACTTGATACTGAACCTCAGTGGGTACCGTCCACTTGGCTGAGGTAAAGGAAATATCCATCTGTGGCATGATTGGACTTGGATCAGGCAGACTGCCAGTATGAAGGTAAACCTGATACTTCAGCAAGACTGAGGGTAAGGTGGCAGGCAATGCAGATCTGTTCTTAGAAATCCCCACAGGTAATTTGTGCACAGCAGTCTATATTCACTATGGCGCTTTAGGTTCTTGCCTCATTTAGGGATTCTAAATGGAAGCTTTCAGCAGAGCATTCCATTTCATCCATGTGAAAACTGTTTTTCACCTAACCAAATCTTTTCTGCCTAGTCATATTTCCATGAAAAACGTGTGTGTACATACACAGCAGTCCACGTCTCACATAGTTATATTGATGTTATTTAACAGTTAACTTAAGTGACTTCATGGGAATTGGGGTGGGGGGGTAGGGATTGTGCTTACGTGTACTGGGCAAGACTTTATTTGGTTGGAAAACTGGTGTAGTCATCAGAAATACTTTAAAACATTTAATGTGCTGAAAGTATAATATACACGCCAGATTTTGAGTGCTACACAAAATACATTAAATATTGTTTATAGTGATTAAAAATGTTTAAGGTGCCACTTGGATCTGGAGCTACTCTCTTAGGCTTCAATTCATTTGTATGTCTTTTAATTCTTGAAAAACACATTCCATTAGAAGCACCAATTTTTAGCTCAAACTTTGTAGATCGGACTTGACTGCACATTCAGCAGACTGATCTAGTTAAGCGCATACAACATGCTGATCTTAAAGATAATTTTCTGAATTTTCCTTAAATGGTCACAGCTGATTTGATAACCTTCCTTTCTCTGATCTGCATAGCACAATAGAATGTGTACGTTGCATTTTTATGAATGGCAGATGTTCATATAAACTGTGTTGACTGTTAAGTTTCTCATGATGCAGAGTTTTTTATATACATGAGAGGACATAGTACATTTGAGTTTTTGCATTTTTGTATAGGAGCACAGTATAATTTGATGACTGTGCTATATATAGGTAATAAACTGGAATTCCGTGATGAATATAGCTGCTGTACTGTATACTAATATTAGATTGGCAAAATGGTCATTGATAACACTTGTTCGCATTGAACTAAAATTATATGAGGGAAATACTATGACAATTGACTTTGAGATCAGAAGGAATGGATGACCTGGAAGTCATTTGAACATTTTAGGAAAAGAACATGGGTGGGGGTGGGGAGAAGTTAAAGAGGTTTTCATCCTAACAAGGTCTGCCTCTTATGACCATAATGCAATAACTTGCTAAATCATAAATGTCTAAGCTAATGGGATTTCACACTGGCATGGAAAGCTGATTTGTAGTCTTTTCAAGCCTTTAGGGTGTGATGTGACAAACAACCTCAAATGTGAATGTATTCGTTTTATTTTTGTGATGACTTTAGCTACAGCATTTCCTGTTCTCAAAGCTAAACACTGGAATAATAATGAATTATCATTTAATTTAATGTAAGCAGTTGGTTTTAATGAGTAGTTTGTCTCAGTGTCATGTATATATTTGATTTTTTTCTCCTCTACATAATTTTATTTGAACAAATGTAGAGTTTATATGTTGCCTTTTTCTGTTCAAATTTGCATGGCCTCGAAGTTGGTTACGGAGTGTGTCTTAGGTGGAGATACCTTCAAGATACTTCATTAGGAAGAAAGTAACATCCTGGGTTAAGGGAAGGAATGCCAAACATACTATCTCTTCAGGTCCGAAACACTCCAAGGGTATAGCAGGAAATGCAAAGCTCACACTGATTTTCAGCATTGGAAACCAAGGAATAGAAGCACTTCATCTTTTCAGTCTTGCAGTTTACTTTCTCCTCAGGAATGAAAGGTAGTCTGTGGTAGACAGTGGAGTTTTGTGAGCTGCTTATCATAACTGACCATTGTTTTCAACTCTAAGATCTAAAGTGTTGGCAGTTTGAATTACATTAGAATGAGATTTCAGGTAGTATCAGCAAGTGGCTTATTATGCCATTCCCTGAGTTAGCCTGCAGACCATAGATCCACACTAGGCCATGTACTATCAGGCTCAGATAGGCTTTAATAAGCAAATTCCCTACCAAGGCACATGCCATACCATAGCATACTTTAGGAAAGTCTAAGGTGACAAGAGATATTTTGGGGGTCAGTGAAGTCTTACCATTCTTTCCTCATCAACATTGGTAGAGGGGTAGAAACATTTGTCCCAGTGAAATGGATGTGCTGATATTCAGCACAGTCCCTAAACAAAGTGAACCCTGAGTTATTGCCGACTTCTTGCAAGAAAATGGAAAAAACCCTTGCTGTGTACACCTAGTTCTTGAGCTGTTGTGGCCAGTTCCATTTCCTGTCCCTCTGGTTCTGATTGGAGACTCCAGAGTGGGGGATGTCTTAACCACTTACAGGAATGATACCATTAGCTAATAAAATACACGTTAGTTCAAATAAGGAAATATCTTCCTTTACTAAATTTTCTTAGGTCAGAACAAACAAAGAATAGTCTGTAGACTAATCCAAATTTGCTCTCTATGAAAATCTAATGTCTGGAGTCCCCCCCCCCCTTTTCTCATGGCTTAAGGATTAAGTATTGATAAGGAATAATTTGAATGTAATTTTGTGAATGTGTATGGAAAATATGAACCAGGGATTTAGCCTTAATAAGGTAACTTTTCTGACATTTATTGTTAATCCTCCTTTGTACTCTTATCCTGTATCTGCACTCTGTTATTTTGAGATGTCATACTGCACACTGTATTGTAAAAATAAAAAGTAAAATTATATTTCAAATAAAAAAGCCGCTGAGTATTTTCTCTTGCTGTATGTATATCCTCTGCCATTCAAGGTTTCAGCATATCTATCAACCATCCTGTCTTCGGGTTTTTGCCAGAAGTCAGTCCATTGGAACCTCTGGGTGAGAAACAAAAATTTTAAACTTATTCTGCACCATAGGGGAATCCTCCCTATTGGCACAGATACAGGGTTCTGTTTCCTTAACTTTTTTTTTTTTAAAAAAAGGAACAACTTCATTTTTAATCATTTTACTATTTATACCATAGTCACATTCAAATTGGCAAAACTGCTCCATGATAGACAGAACAGAGACCTGTCATGCAAAGTAAAATAAGTGAAGTCTCTCCTAAAGCTTGAGGAGAGAAATACCGCGGGAACACAGAAGGCTGCAGATGGCAGGGCCCCGGGGGTGCGGGTGGGTGGGAATGAAGGGTGCACCAACAGTAGTTGGCCTGAGACCACTGCTGCTTCCTAAGGGGGATTTCCTAATATGCTTGGTAAGCCGATCACCTGTGACCAGATACAGATGGAGAAGGGTGACACTTCTGCAGCGTAAATTCTACAAGTTCCTGGGCCAGTTCTCTAAATATCATCTGTGATAAATGGCTGCTAAATTAGGATTTTGCAAAGGTAATCCAATAAATGGACATCAGGGAAATTTTACAACCAGTGAAACTCTTAGGCCAAAAAGTAAGCAGCCACATGAACCAAACCTATACACTGAACAAAAACGGTGCCATGTTAGGACTTCGGAAAGAACCAGAGCAGGAAGGGTTATTCAAACAGAAGATCCTCATCCTTCTCTTCAGCCAGGAGGTTGGCAGGCTCCGTCACCTCTCCAGCTGCCCTCCGTTTCTCCAAGTCCTTCTCAGTTTTTTCCTTGAGAATCTTTTTCTTCTCCTGTATTTTCTTTAACCTGTAATGTAAAGGAATTTTCTGAATGCTATTTCAGTACTAAGTAGATTTGCTTTCTTCTAGGTTTGTAACAAGAATAATAAACACAAATCAGAACAAAACTTTACTCTAATTTCAAATTCAGTAATTTATTTATAGCCCATTAAAAAAAGATTTGAGGTAGAATACACAAATTTTAAGCTAATAACTGACTTCAAAAGCTCCTATCCCAAGGTAAATGCACTTCGAAATCCATTCCTCGATAATGGAACGATTTTGAGCCTTCAGACATTTATTGAAATTTTGTATCATTCCATTTGGATCACCACAACCCTGAATATCACTGAAGGACAGAAGCTAACCTTTGATAATTAAGATTATAAACTATATTCAGACACCACTCCAGTTCAAGGGGACCATGTCATGTCTTCCCTGAATATGCCTGCCTTCGCCTGTCTCCCACTTCTCTCAGCCTGGCACACTGACCCCTGTACACCACCTATTTAGTATTTATTGTCCCCACTAGCTCGAAATGTTCATAAACAATTATGTACATGCATCATTTCTCTCCAAGCACTGCACCAATTCTCTAATGGTATGATTTAAACTATTAGGTAATGTCCCCCTCAGGAACATATTCAATATGCAATACATACTGGTTGATTAATTCCAATTTCTTTTTATGTGGGTGTGTCCCACATAAAGCAGTTTCATTTTTAAAAAAATAATCAAGTCTATTGGCCTGGCAGGTGTGGCTCAATGGCTGGGCATCGACCCATGCACCAAGAGGTCGCCAGTTCGATTCCCGGTCAGGGCACATGCCCAGGCTGTGGGCCCAGTCCCCAGTGGGGGACATCCAGGAGGTGGCCAATCAATGTTCTCTCATCAATGTTTCTATCTCTCCCTTCCTCTCTAAAATCAATAAAGAAAAAAAAATAAGTCTATTAATAGTTCCTCTGACCAAAGGTTTTGGAGATACAATGTTTTAGGTATGCAAAACCTGGCATAGACCAGCCTTCATAGCCTTTGGCAATATTTCTTGCTTATATATCAATAAAATGCAAGCTGTGCCAATTCTAAAGAACAGAAGCCAACAAGTCTCTCGGCATATAGAGACTTTGGAATATGGAAAACAGAAAATGATCAATTCCAACAAACCTATAGAACTCTTCTCGCTCTCTCTCATCCAGCTCTGTGATGATGTAAGCAAGAGTACGTTCAATCCGGGGAATGATGACTAGGATTTAAAAATATATATACACGTGAGTATCTCAAACCTCCTTTTGTCAAACTGCCAGTGCTCATCTGCATACCAGTTACTTATTTTTTCTAATTATAAAATCAGTGTACATTTAATGCATAAAACTTAGAAAACAAAAACAGAAAATAAAATGAAGTATAACCCAACCACCCTAAAGTAATTACAATAAACATGTTGGTATATGCCTTTCTAGTGTCTTTTCTGTAGACAGATAACACTGGACCATGATATATATGACACTGAATTTATATGCATACATAAAATTGAACCACAAGTGTTATTTTAAATATTAGAGCAATCAATCTACTGTTGACAAATGGAGCATCGAGGCAGAATGTAGTAAGCTGAGTTTTGTGTCAATCATAAGGTTCTGTTTTACATAGAATTTGCCTATTCTACAATGTGAACTTGAGAGTTGGAACTATTATCCATTTTGTTTTGCTTGCAAGTCCATGTACAAGGGCTGGCACCAGCAAGCAGTCAGGAAATTTGTTTTAAGTTGTTAAAAACTGAGATAACTTCCTCTTTAATACTAATAGAGCCTAAACAAAATAATTTATTTGCTATTCAAATTTTTCTCCTTTCTTACCTTAAAACGGAAAAAAAAATTGTTCCTTTAATGAAAACTGAGTTTCTTAAGCAAAAAGCATTATACCAACACTAACCAGTCATAGTTTTAAAATAATGAAATAACAGAGATGGAAAATAATGCATCAAATGGGAAAATTTATTTTCAGATATCAAGGAGAACACAGGACATTATTTCTATAGGACATAGGCTTAAGGGAGAGGGACTTAAATAATGTGTTCAAAAAGATGCATCATTCACTCAATTATTGGAAAGAACTAAAAACACTATAGCTCTTGAGAAATAGTTTCCACCTCTTACCCATGTATAACCAGAAATGAATAAAATACTCCACAATTCTGAACTCACCACTTTCGTATAGCACCCTCCAAATCATACATCTACCAAAGCACGTAGAAACCCCTTACTGTACTACCCACCCTGGGCAAGGTCTTACCACCTGGAAGTCAGTGCCTGATCCTAGCAGTTGTACAACAAAGGTAGAGGCACGGACAGTGGATGAACAAAAAGCCTCAGAGGCTTGCACTCACCATGTTCAATGGCATTTACACGCCTGTTGGTAATCTTAATAGCTTCATCCAAAGTAACAAAGGAAGTCTAAAATAAGAGGACAAATAATGTAAGCACAAAGTCTTCCTAAATGTCCTCTGTGCACTTGGCTCCATGCAGATGGCACTTGTAGAGAACTGGAAACTAACACCCTTCCCTTCAACATTAAAAAAAAATTATTGTGAGATTTCCATAGAGCTAACACTATCTCCATGCTATTATAATTTACTTTAGACTTACCTAAAGTTATAAAAATGGCAAAAGGATTTAATCATGCATGAATGACCTAGACACACATTAACTGGCCACAAGGGATAAAACTGCTTTCACACCCTGGCCGGTTTAGCTCAGCGGTTGGAGCGTCGGCCTGTGGTCCAGAGAGACCCGGGTTCGGTTCCCACTAAGGGCGCGTAGCTCGGTTGCAGTTTGTCCCCGACCCTGACTGGTCATGTGGGTGGCAGCCACTCAATGTGTCCCTTTCACGTCGATGTTTCTCTTTCCCTCTCTCTTCCTCTCTCTCACTCCCACTCTATCTGAACAAAAAGTGGAAAAAGATGTTCTCAGGTGAGGATAAAAAAAAACACAAAAAACTGCTTTCATGCATATACCATATTATATTTGCATTTAGATCTGCTGGTCTCATTCAGCAGAGTGAAACTACAACCACTGCACATTGTGTTACAAAAGTTGGTGCAGAAGCCACCATTTCATAAATCCATACTTCTTTGGCTTGTTTCACAGAGGTCATGGAGACATTCTGAAGTACTGACTGCATAAGCTCTGAGCCAAGGTCCGAATCTCCTGCACTCAAACATTAGGAATCAAACATTCTCCAGCAATTCTCTACCTACCTGCAGCGAGGCGAGTTCCACCAGTAGTTCCACTGCTTTGGCATAATTCCTCTTTAATTTAGCCAATTGTTCCCCACCTCTGGCTAAACCAGTCAGTTCATAACCTGAAAGAACCAGTCAGACAATAATAGTAATTACAGAACAATAATATTCCCCCTAAAACCACCCTAAAAAAAGAACAATGACAAAATGGGAAAACAAATTCACTATCTCTATTACATGCAAATATGAAGTGCCCATCTCACTCTGCAAACACTCTAGGACATCATGCTGAATAGTACCCACAAGGACGCTATTCTAACTACAGAAGTTTTTAACCTACCCTCACTCACCAGATTGCTGGATTAACCAACGCCACCCTTCCCTTTGTAGACCATACTGCCTGATGCCCTAGTACAATGACTCTATTAACACGTCATTGTTATTCAGAATACTGTACTAAATATTTTATATGAACTGATGAAAGACAAGTGCCAAAAAAATAATGTTGTTTCCATTTTTAAAAATCTGATTACTGCCCTGGCAGGTGTGGCTCAACGGTTAGAGCACCGGCCCAAAGACCAATGAGTCATGGGTTCGATTCCGATCAAGGGCATGTACCTCAGTTGCGGTTTGTCCCCGGCCCTGTTTGGAGTTGTGCGGGAGGCAACCAGTTGCTGTGTCTCTCTCACATGGATGTTTCTCTCTCTCCCTCCCACTCTATCTGAATAAAAATGGAAAAATATCCTCAGGTGAGGATTAAAAAATAAATAAAAATCATTACTTTGGACAGACTCAATAAAGATGTTTTACTACTCCAAAAAATGCTATCAATTTAGGGAAGGGTAAGACAATTATAAAAAAAATTAAGAGCAGGTTATAAAAACCTAGGAAGATTCAGCATTCAGATTGCATCACAGAGTCCAAGATCTTATTCTACTTCAAGGAAACCCAAACTGGAAATTATAAACAATGCATTATGGGTGTGGTTTATGCAGAAAGACAACGTGGAAGTCAAATCAGTGAACGCATATGCAAAGAAAGGCCATGAGCTTCTATTTTTAAAATGTTAAATGAGCCCTGGCCAGTTTGGCTCAGTGATTGGAGCATCGGCCTGCGGACCAGAGAGTCCCAGGTTCGGTTCCCACTAGGGGCACATACTAAAATAAAATAAAATAAAATGTTAAGTGACTGTACATATATATGTTTCTAGGTTGAAATAAAATAGTTTAATACATATACAATGTTTAATGCCTCCTGCCATAACACTTCTTTGATGAACTGCTCAGATAAGGCTCTAACACTAGAACCACCAAACTCAATCTTGCACCATTTTCCAGAACAAGGTTCATTTAAAGAGGAATCAGGAGAACCCAGAAACACACACTTACTGTCAGTTCCTTCGTGGTAATGTTCAAACACTGGCAAAGTAACACCTGTTAAACACAGAAAAAGTCAACATAGTGTCTGGAATTATAACTGGTTTCGGAATGAATTTAGGAACCTGCATTCTTAAGTGTTCAACCCTATTCAAAAATTAAGTTAACATGAGTAATAAGGGATCTGGCTGTTACAGTGAGGTTTTTTTTTCTCTTTCAGCTTTGAGGTATACTTACTATACAAAAAAATGCACATATGTAATGTATACATTTTGATGAGTTTAGATATATAGATACACCCCATCATACATAGCATCATCACAATCAAGGTAAGAAACACATCCATCACCTCCAAAAGATTCTGTGTGTCCCCTTTCCTGTGTGTGTGTGTGTGTGTGTGTGTGTGTTTCTGTGAAGAACTCTCAACATGAGATCTACCCTCTTAACAAGTTTTTATGTGCACACCACCATACTATTCTACTGACACTATACAGTATAGCATATCTCTAGAATGTACTAATCCTGTATAACCCGAACTTTATATGCATTGAACAACTCCTCACTTCCCCTACCCCAACCGCCTGGCAACCACCAGTTACAATGGTTTAACATGTAAAGCCGATCAACTTGTTCTAAGTAGAAAAGATTAATTTGGATATTGAGACATGGCTGTATAAACGGGTTAATTTTAAAACGTCACCTTTCCTCCCACAATGGTTCTAAAGGATTGAAAAGTTACCTGCTACATTATCTTTCTTTGCTCGAATCTTCACTTGGGCTTTATTTACATTTTGGATAACTGTGGTGCTGCAGGGGAAAAAAAGGCCTCGGTTTAGTTGAGTTTTTAGAGTAAAAAACAGAAGCAGTGTCTGATTTTAACAAGAGTACAATGTCACAATTCAGTATGTTTTGATCATTGTCTTTTTCCAGAAAAGAAAAATCACTACTTCCAGATGAGGGCCTCAGAGAGCCAAGAATGAACAATATTAAAAAAATTAGCACCTGGTCAGTGTGGCTCAGTGGTTGAGTGTCCACCCATGCACCAAGAGGGCACAGGTTTGATTCCTGATCAGGGCACATGCCCACGTTGTGAGCCAAGTCCACAGTGGGGGCATGTAGGAGGCGGCCAGTAGGTTTTCTCTCTCATTGATGTTTCTATCTCTTTCCCTCTCCCTTCTTCTCTCTCTCAAATCAATAAAGGAAAAAAAAATTCTTTTAAATTAGCCATAAAACAACAACAAGGAATGATTTTAAAGTATGCAGATTACTTGAGTTTTTAGTCAGACATGTGGGATTTTCATTCTGCTAATGTAATTTAGAGAAAACTGTCCTTCCTTTTAGGTTTGCTGTTCAAACCCTTTAATTTGGCTAAGCAGGAGTACAATTCCTTTATCCTAGAACTTATCTAACTTCCATCTGGTTTTGTCTGATTCCTCATTTTTATCATAAAAATAAAGTGTTTTCCCCATAACCACCCTGAAGCATTCATATACCACTTACACACTATTGATTCCCTCCCTCCCTGGAAAAATCAATGTAAGTTGTTATGCTATCAACATTGGCAAAACTTAGTCTATTACTTCAAAGGCCTTATGCCCCTCAGGCTGTAAGACCTGCCCACCATGTAATATGCCTAGATAGATAATAAAAACTAAAAATGAAGGCATTGTATCATTGGGTAAAGAATAAAATCAAAACCCCTGAAATAACTTCCACCTCTGTCCCTAAAAAGCCATTTGACTCAAGAAGGCAATGGACTTAAACTGAGAATAACTACCTCACAGGATTATTTGGAGAATCACATAACATGGAAATTGGCAAAACCCCTTTGTAAAACAATAACTAAAGATTTTGTATGTTTTTTAAAGCATATATTGACATGACAAAAGCCATAAAATTCATGCCCTTTAAACGACCAATTCCATCTTTAAAAATGTATCCTAAGGAAATAATTCAATAGGAACAAAAATACATATGCATGAAGATGTTCATGGCAACTTGAATATTCCAAAAATCTGAAAATAAACCCAAAGGCCTTCCATTAGGGGAAAAGGTTAATAAATTATGGTACATCTAGAGGAAGATTATGCAGCTAAGTGAAAACAAGGAAAAATGTTTATGATTAAATGTTAAATGAAAATGGACTATAAAATAATAAGTATCCTGTGCCTGCAACTATGTAACAGATATATGTGGGTAGTAATAATGACAGTGGTGTTAAGGTGATGGGGTTAAAAGTGTCCTTTCTTATTGCTAGTATATCAATTGTCTTTAATGCTGATATTTTAAATTTAAAGTGGTTTTAAATGGAATTATGAACATAAAAGCACTTTGATTTTTCAAAACACCCTATATAGTATTCTTACCTGAAGTCCCCTGCTGTGAACTTGGCTTCAGCAAGTGAAAAGGCAGCTTCTCTCATCACTTCACCCATCAACATTTTAGTCTGAAAAAGCATAAACCAATAGCGAATTCAACTAAGTTTTTTACAAGAAAAAATCATAATCATGTTCCTTTAATAACCATCAGTACTTTATGTCAGGTATGCTTGTAAACATTGATTTGACAATGATAAAACAAAACAAAACAAAATTTCCAATTTTGAACAGTTTTGGTTATGGTCACTAACCATATTGCAAAACCATGAGTTTTATCACTAAACCATCAAAATAAAGACATGAAGAAATAGAAAACTGAATCTTTACTGTGGGACTGTTATTTCTGAATAGGTCCATGACGACTTGCTCAAATTAATCTCCTAAATTCACTACAATGCAATCAAAATCCAAATAGCATAGTGATTCTAAAATAAATCTGGAATATTTAACATTTGAGAATATCCAATACTTTTTTGAAAGAGAATAATTTGGACAGGTGGGTAGAGTTATGTTACCAAGTATTAAAAATATATAGCTATGATAAGGATATAAATCTCATACTGGGATGATAAGTCAATGAAATGAATTAGGGAGTTCAGAAACAACCCCAGGACTATACTGGAATTTAGTAGTATAATGGGACGATTCAACTGGCCATCCATTTACAAAATGATAAAGCTAAATCCCTACCTTCTCACATAACCCCTCCTCCAAACACACACACACACACCAAAAAATCCAGAAATTATTAAAGGTAAAGGTTTATTTTCAAAACTATAAAATAAAATAGATTATTTTCCTAACCTTTTTAGGGCTTTCTAAGCATAATGTGTAACCCAAAAGCTATATAAAAGAAAAGACTAATGGATTTGACAAAAAAAATAAGATAACATTTTAAAGAAAGTTAGACTTTAAGAAAATATTTTTAGCATTTTATACACTAACTTGAATATATACAGAACTTCTACAAAAAAAATAAGAGGAAAAAATCAAATTGCCAGTAAACAGGAAAAGAAGGTCAACATCACAAATAATCAAAAGTAGTACAAACTAAAATAAGATAGCAAATTTAGCCCAATAAGATAGGCAACACATAAAAAAATACCCAATTAAGAAGAATTTAAGAAAATTAGGTCCTCTTATTAATCATTTAATAGGAATATAAATTAGTATAACAATTTGGAGGGTGATTTGGCAGTTATCTACTAGACATTTAAATAATTCTTCAGAATCTCAGATTCTCAGATGTGTATGTGTAGCATACATACACATAAGGATTTAAAGTACTCTTCCCCACAAAATGGTGAAACTACATATTCATCAAGAAACAGTTAAATTCCATTATCCATGAGGTGGAGTACCATTCAGCTCTTATAAAGAATGAGACCAGCCCTGGCCGGTTTGGCTCAGCGGTTAGAGCATCGGCCTGCGGTCCCGAGAGACCTGGGTTCGGTTCCCGCTAAGGGCATGTACCTCGGTTGCAGTTTGTCCCCAGCCCTGGTTGGGTTGTGTGGGTGGCAACCACTCGATGTGTCCCTTTCATGTCGATGTTTCTCTTTCTCTCTCTCCCTCCCACTCTATCTGAATAAAATATCAAAAAAAAAAAAAAAAGTCCTCGGGGAGGATAAAAAAAAAAAAAAGAATGAGACCAATCTATATGTATTGACATAGAAAGCTGTCCACATTCTGCCATGGAGTGAATGAAGGGGAAGTGGGGCAGAAAATGTTTTATATACATATAAAATAGATGCATGCATGTTTGTTACTAAAAGCATCTGTGTGTGGTCATACAGCCACGCATGATACTCTTGGTGTATGCTTTACAAAAGCAATGCTTTTAGTATGTGCTACCAAAGAGAGACTGAGAGGTTGAGAGAGAAAGAGAGAGAGAAGGTGGAAAGGATATAAACCAAAGTGTTACAAAGAACTCTGGGAAATGAAAGGATAGCTGAGGCTAGGGTAGGGGAAATGGGAAAGAACCTTCACTTTTTTATATATTTCTGTATTCACATCATTTATGAAAAAAAAAAAAATTTTGAGTTAAAACATACTAGGTGCCAGTACTGTTCCAGGCACTGAAAATACATTGCTGAAAAGACAAATTCCCCCTCTCATGGAACTTCAAATAAGGAAATGTGACAGAAGTAAATGTGGTGGTCACTTCAGATTGGCTGAGCCCCGATGGCCTCTCTAAAGAGACCAGATGGCCAGAGGAGCTAGTCATAAATTCTGAGGAAAGAGCATTTCAGGCAGAAGAAACAGCAAATGCAAAGGCCCTAGAGGAAGATGTTAGGAAGATTATGGCAAATGAGGTCAGAGAGGCAGGCAGGGGCCAGATTACATCAAGTGGGGCTCATGAAAGGAGTAAGGAGTTTGGATTTAATGAACTATGTGAAACTCAGTACTTTATAATGGTATTTTTACTTCTGAAAGAAAAAATTCATTAAAATAACAAAGAAAAAGTAAAATGTCACAGCCATGCTGGATTTTCCCTAGATATTTCTAAAATAAATACTGTTCTAAGCAAAGTTCATTCTACCTCTATGATCTTTTTTAGGATCTGTCGAAATCGAAGCGTTAAGGCATCAGATTTTTTCTTCAGGAGGTTTCGACCTGTCTGTGCTCCTTTTAATCGAGCCTTCATGATGGTCTGTGCCCTATATAAACAAAGTTAAAGACATTTATTCCCACTGTTTAAAAGAAATAAAATACCTCCCCAATACAATAATGTTAAAATTATGCTTTATTCTTTGATGTCATCAAAATAATATATAGTATTTGTAGCTGACAGGTTTAATTGGTTTCTCAATATTGCAGATTTCCACCCTCAAGTGTTCCATAAATGAGAGGTTCATTTATTTAAAACGAAAACAATGTTTTAATCACTATCTGGCATAAATATTTATTAAGTTGTAATCAAGTTTATCAGGAGCTCTATTTTATGATGCCAGCATAGTTTAAATATTTCTTTGATTTGTAAATTGAAACAATATCTGGTTCCATTAGAAGTGTAGTAAGGGTTTAAAAAAAAACCTGCCCTGGCCAGTTAGCTCACTGGTTATAGCGTCGGCCTGAGGACCAATGAGTCACGGGTTCGATTCCGGTCAAAGGCACATACCTTAGTTGCGGTTCGTCCCTGGCCCTGGTTGGGTTGTGCGGAAGACAACCAGTCAATGTGGCACTATCACATCGATGTTTCTCTCTGTCTCTCTCTTTCTCCCTCCCTCCCTCCCACTCTATCTGATGATAAATAAAAAGTATCCTCAGGTGAGGAATAAAAAATTAGAAAAAAATATCTGTCCACTAATTTATATCAAAATTCAAAATGCACTTACCTTCAGGACCAACAATTCCACTTTGAGGAATTTATCCTACAGATCTACTCCCACATGTATACAAAAACATGTACAAGGTTAAGGATGAGTAGTCCAGCATCATTTATAATAGCAAATGGGTGGAAATGTCCCATAACTTATGGTTCATAATACAATGGAATGATATGCAGTTATAAAAAAAAAAAAAGTAGGCCTACATGTGCTTCCTATATGATATTGTTTTAGCTATGCAAAGCAAGGAGGGATAAATATGCTTAAATAGATAGAGAATAGATAAGAAAGGATTCACAGAAACTGATTAAGTTTCCTTTGGGAAATAGGGCTGACTGAAAAAATTAGATTTACTTTTACTACTATATTCTTTTGTATCTTCTGCATTTTATTTCACAACCTTTTATTACCTTTTCTTTTAAAAGTACGGCACTAAAGTGTTTTGATATCAATCAACACCCTACTACCAATCACTTTAATTTGCAAATTCCTTTACATAACAAATGAATATAACAAATTAGGTAACAAATGACTCTGGGTAACTTATAAATGACATATCTAACTAATGACTCCTGGTAAGTGACAAGCTACAAAAGTCTCCTACCTCCTATTTCAATCTTTTCCCATCAGAACCCCCAATACCAAAGTCAAGAAACCAACAGCAGAAATTGACATTTCTATTCTTGCCAGATAAAATTTAATAATGGGGGGAAAAGTGGGTAATAAGATTCAACAATAGAGTAGCTTAGATACTTAAAGTGATTTGTTTAAGGGGATATAATTTCATATGAATGGTGTTATAACCAAAGGCAACATAGTATTAATGGATCTTTTGGCTAATTCTTAGATTATATTGAAATCTTTTACCATAGAGCTAAGGTTACTGAGAAAATTCTATAGCTGGAAGGAGCTTTAGACATTACCTTGGAAGTTAAGAAAATGGGGCTCAGAAAAAAATGAAACAACTTTCCCACAGTCATTCAGTAAAGGCAGAGCAGGACCTGAACCAGATTTCTGACTCCAGTGACTTGCCCAAGGGTTAAACCTAGGTCCACTGAACCCCAATTACATGGGACACTGCCTCCCTACAGATTATAAATAGCACCAGATGAACAGTTCTCTCTCTAGCTATCAGGGGCTGACTTTGCACTGACTGAAGGTCTAATCAAGTGAAGCTGGTTCAGTTTCCTGCCTGAGCAGGACCTGGCCACTCCAATGTGTACATTTAAACATACTGCATTGTTGACACTAACCACCAGAATTTGGGCTCAAAGAGTTGGATCAAATTTAAGTCAAATCCTAGTACTGCAGATTTCAGAAAGTTCACAGTAAAAAGGCAAACTGGTTGATAACATTGGTAGCATGTTATCATGTTAACATGATAGCATGATTACTATGCTAATTTCATTTTATTTTATCCTCACCAGAGGACATTTTTAAATTCATCTTCAGATAGAATGGGAGGGAGAGAGGGGGGAAGAGAGAGAGAAACATTGATGTGAGAGAGACACATCGACTGGCTGTCACCCACACAACCCCAATCCGGGCCCGGGGACAAACTGTAACCGAGGTTCGTGCCCTTAGTGGGAACCAAACCCCGGTCTCTCTGGTCCATGGGCCACCACTCTAACCGCTGAGCCTAACCAGCCAGGGCTTACCATGCTAATTTTAATTTCCTCCTAGGTAATGGCATCCCTGTAAAACAAATTTTTACTCTTGATACTCAAAGAGTGACTTGCCCAAGAGCTTATAGCCCTTGTAGGTATAACCTGGATTTGAGATTTCTGTGGACTCCAAATCCTTCATGGCTCTTTTGATTCCATCCTAAACTTGTTTTTCTCTCTCTGGTGCCTAAGTGGATGTCAGTCCCATTTCACAGGCTAATACCAAAAGCTGGAACTGTCTGAAACAGAAGTCACTAGTGTATTTTCTAGCCTACCTCTTACAAAATCTGTACTTTTACAAGTTTCAGAGCTGCTCAGCCCTACTCAAAAGTGTCTGACCTTCAGCTAGGATGATTATTTGTTTCCAGATGAATCAAAGGCATCTGACTACATGACAAAGTACCTGCACTAAGCCTTGGGGAAAATATTTAGAAAAGCCATTACTTCCTGCACCTGATTTTCCCCTTAAACAGCAAGGTGGGTACTCTCAAATAGCAATTTTTACCTTCACATACCTGTCATTCTTCTTGTCTAAGCCCAAATAAGTCTTTTTTCACCTCTTAGTCTTAAGGTAAAACAAAAAAATGTTAACATTCTGACTATTATCTAAGATTAACACAGTCAAACTTGAGTTGAAGTGGTGAAAACAGATTTTATTCAGTAACTACTGACAGTAGGGGAAAGAGTTGTGTTCCATTCTGACTTGTGCAGAGGCTATGGGCATTTTAAAGGATAAATGAGGTGGGGGAGGAAGAGGAGACACAAGTAGAATCAGGGAAGTGAAAAATTACAAAGGGCTGGTCAGTGAAAATGCAATTAGGCCAGTGGTGTCTGCTGGCAGGCAATTATGGAAGTTAGGAATCTATCCTCACAGACAGAGGCCCCATCTTTCCTGATGATTACATTTCAAAGAAACAGTTTTCAGGTCCTTGGGAAAGATACTTCTAATTTGTAGGACAGAAATATAAATCTCAACAAGAAAAGAAAGGATTCATAATTGTAAGCCCTTTTCAGTAAATGCCCTATGAAAGGAAGGTCAGGGATCTGCCATCAGGTGTTGGCTAGAACAAACAGTAAATTCTCCTGAGAGTACTGAGCTCTCTCAAGCAGACATTTTAATGGGGGGCTGGTGTCATCTAGCAATACAACCTTGGGCTGCTAGAGCTATGCTAGAGTTTGGCTCTCTCAGTGCAGAGGTTTGGACAGTTGGTCATCAGATGCTGGAAATTCTGCAGTTCTCACTACCTGGGAGTAGTCTTCATCCTTATCTATTTCACAGGCGCTGCCTTTCTCCACAACTGACTTGATTCCCACCTAGTACAGCTATTAGAAAGTCAGCAGGTGAAAGTAAAAAAAATAAACAAAAAGCCAAAAACTCCTTCATTTCATTTAGAGCTGTAGCTACCCAGGCAGAGACAGACATCTAGATTTGGGATTTGAAAATAACTCTTTTATTTCTCAGATTCTCTGAGAAAAAGGCCAGGATGAAGAAAAACGACAGAATACTTCCAAAGAGATAGGACCTCAATAAAAAAAATAAAAAAAAAATTTAAAAAAAAAGGTCTAAATGTCAGAACCAAAACTGATTTTCTGCTCCTCACTAAAAAAAAAAGAAGAGGAAGAGGAAAAGGGGAGGGCAAATAAGAACAATCTTTACTTTGCACACATTGTTCGGTACACTTGAGAAAACCTCAAAATTTTCTTTACAGGCTGGCCAAACACCTGGGGCGATATGCTATTTCTCCTGCCAAAGAAATCAGGCCAAAAGAGAAAGGCAGCTCACAACTGAGCACATTCCAAAACATGGGTTCATTCAAGGAACATTTTTTGTGAGCTGTCTATGGACTCACTATGGAGACACTCTCTTATCCTGGAGAGAGCTCACAGGCCAGTGGGAAAGCTATATAAACAAATACTATCCGCTTTGCAACGTGATGGGTAATATTGAGAGAGGTCTGAACAGGGTGCAATGGTGATAGAGCAAGAGGAGTGCCTCAGACACTCAGGGCTATCGTCCCACCGCAGGTGACATTTCATGGGATCTCGGAAAAAGACTACGGGGATCTAAGATCGAATCTGACGTCCATGCTTGGGCATCTCAACACCCAAATTCGCTGAGGAGTCTCTTCTATATGCTTCCCACCGCGGTTAACTTCCCTTCTCAATCCACTTACATGGCTTGTTGTCCATCTCTCTGCTAAACTGAGCGCTTTTAGGGCGGGAGTGGCGACGATTCATAGTTATATAAACCCAGTGCCCGGTTCAAAAGGTAGTGTGGAATGAATGGCTCGATTAATCAGTAAGGCCAGCGGACATCCACAAAAGCCCGCAGGCCGGGCACCTGTTCCTATGGGCTGGGACCGCTCTGACCAGTCCAGCCAACTCGGGAATGCGTGAGGGGCCGTCAGGAAGCCTCTCCCTGCACTCACGAAAAGAGACCGGGAGAGCTCAGGATCCGCCCAGAAAATTAGGAACCTCGCTTCTGGTCCAGGGTACGGAGGAAGCGAGAATCCGCCAGACGTTCCTGAACCTAATGAGGGCCGCTCGTCCATTCTTTTACTTACATTCGCGAGGGAAAGATTTCTATTCGATCTTTGCCCGACATTCTGACGACGACGGTGCGGCTCGGGTTCCCGGCCCGGCAGGCGTGGTAGCTACAGATGCAGCCACAGTAGCTTCCCCTACTGGAGTCAGCTGGTTGTGTCACTTGACCACCTACCCCCCGCCCCCCTCGCGTTGCTAAGAGGCCGCCGGGATACGCATTTTTCACTTCCGCTTCCTGTTGGCAAGGGAGGTGGAGGGGTGGGGGTAGGAGGGAGGGGAGGACCTAAAGAAGGCGATGCCCGGATGTTGAGGCGCGCGCACCACGGGACGACCCCCCCCTCAATTCCGGTTCGCTTTCGAGCCCCTCCCGCTCAGCTCCCAAGCGGCTGCGCAAAGGCTCTGCGAGAGTGAAGCGAAAGAACAGGAGAGGAGAGTACACTCCTTCTCTTTTTCCGCTTGTCATCTTTAGTCACAGCGCCACCTCATGATTGACCGAAGCTTTGAGAGAGGATTTATTCTTCAGGGGCAAGGAATCAGAGTCCTACCTCTCCCCTGAGCCTTGAGTATTACTTGTCAAAAACTAAAGAAAGCTTTGAGAAAGCGTAATTTTCAGGCCTTCTTGTGATCTATGCTTTCCCTTGTTCTCGGAGGACCTGGACTCTATGGTCAGTGACGAAGAGGGGCCTCTATCCTGTTGGCGCTTGCGTGTTGCGAGGTGGTGCCGCATGCGCGGTGGGGTTGAGCGAAGCACACGCTGAGGAGTATCGGCGGCGGCTTCTGCTGGCGGGTCAAGTCTGATCTCTTCGGTTAAAGAGCGTGGCCCCGGACCCCACGGTGGGATTCACACATATACCTCAGGTGACTAGTCCCCTAGATCGGTTTCTGAAAGAACTCACTCTTCTTGTGTCCAGTACGTGGGTGGTCGAGGGAGGGTAGGCCCGGGCTAACACCTCTCCCGTCCCTGCGCGGGAAGTGTCCGGTCGCCACCGCCACCGCCACCACCCGCCGGCTTCGTGTGGGTCTCCCGTGCTGCAGTGGTGCCTTTGTACGCGCGGAGGACCCTCGAGAAGGGGAGGGGGCCGAGTGACTGTCCGGCCTCTTCGGTATACTTGAAGTGAGGATGCCTTGAGGTGGGGCGCCTCGGGGGAGCGCAGCGACACCCCCGCCCCGGGACGCTGAACTCTTTGCTCTTTCCGGGCTTGAGAATTCTGCCTTTTTCTTTTTCCCCCCTTCGGTCCCAGGAAATACTACCTGTCAGTGGAACCCAGACCGGACGCCTCAGGGGACCGGTGGGATGGGTCACAGTGTTGACAAGAGCTGGGTTATAAAGGGTCCACCATTTGATCGTTTATTTTTAAAACGTGAAGCTCATACTGGTGTCTCGCTCGAGATGTGCATTTCTGTACAGTGAGTCACTCCTTGAAACAACCATGCTGATGAGTTTAATAGGCTTCCTGTCAGTGCGCCGTATTTCAGCACCGATGAGAACAGAATTACACGCTGTGGTCGTACAGTTAAGTAAAACGAAAACATAAGCTATGGGAATTTTAGGGTTACGCATTCAGCCTGAGGTCCCTTTTATGAATCCCCAAACTTAAACTACTTTAATTTTTATTAAACAAGAAACATTGTTTCCTGGAGAAAAGGTGTAGCAGAAAGGTCTTGGTTTTTCTTCCGACTGAAGTTGTTATTCAAGGAAAAAAGTTGTGAGTCAGTGTCTTTTGCAGAGTTTGGGAATTACCTACTTACAGAGCTATACTACCAAATCTCAGTTTGTCCGAGGCCAAACGGCCTCAGACGCACCCTGACGTTGGGAGATGTGGGTGCTTCCTTTTTCAGCTACAGCAAGATCATTTAAAAGCTTTATTTTCTGTGGCACTCCTATACTAAAAAGTAGCATCCAGAGAGCATAGGTGTTGGAGTCCAGTTAAAATTACCACAAGAGTTGTTTCTAATACATAAAACACTTCACTTTGCAAAGGAATGTGGACTTCCTGTATCCATTATGGTGACTTGACCTGACTTGACCCTGCACTGTTTTAAGAAAGAAGACCTCCCTACCATTTGACCAGGCAAAATTACTGACAATGCAGGGTATTTGAAATTAGCTTGGAGTTCTGTTAATATATTCTGAAAGGTGGATGGTCTTTAACAAAGAACACATATGGTATTGTAGTACTGTGACATATTGAGGTTCTGTGGCTTAAAGACACTCTGGATTTAATGCCGTAAGACTTGGTTTTAGCTCGTGTTCTAATACTTACTAAGCATTTGTTTTTAAGGGAGTCATTTAATATTGCTGGTTCTTGGTTCCCAGTTAATTGATCGCTCCACTATGATCCTTTCATAATACCATATTTTGCAATTATTTGCTTATTTCTTTGTTTTCCATTCCAAACCTAAATTCTTTAGGTAAGCGTCTCAATTGTTTTACCAATAGTGTTTAGCACACAGTAGATACTGCAAAAGTAGTTGTTTAATGAATTAAGTTACACAATGGAAATGATATTTCTTTTGCCTTTTAATATCTTATATTTGTATACCATATTACACTTTCAGATGTTTTACATATATTTTATCTCATTTAATACTCTCCACAAATCTGTGAGGTACATGCCCCAGACTAGAAACTACAGTTCCATGGGAATACATTTTCCAAGCAACCACAGCTAGTAAGTAAGACAGCAAGGACTAGTACCCACATTGACAACTATTCCCAAAGTTCACTATGCTACTTGCCTGACTTGAGAACTTGAGGGCCAAATAAAATAAGTCAAAGGGCTTTGAAAATTATATAAAGAGCTGATAGATACCTAACTTGTGGCTTCTATTTTCCTGACTGATTTTTTTTTAAGTTAGTGTAATTATTAGCATAAATGAGGGGAGATATATATATATATATTCAAAATCTGTCAGCCAGTATGCAGATTCTTTGTGAAATGTATTCTTTTTGTACTTACCAGGAATCTCATGAAGGAAAGTGGGCCAAGTGACTGTGCGGCCTCTTCAGTATACTTAAAGTGAGGATGCCTTGAGGTGGGGCGCCTCTGGAGAATGCAGTGAGACCCCCACCCCAAGAGCACTTTGCTCTTTCCAGGCTTGAGAATTTCGACTTTTTTTAAAAAACATACCTACATATCGCAAAGAGACTTACTTGAACCTCCTAAAGCTGTAGCATTTGTATCTCCCTTCAGGATTCTTTTACACTATTGCCTATGTTCTTTAACCATCAGTTTAAGCCTTGCTTCCCCCGAATTATCAACTTGATAAGTAAATGTGGTTAGCACATGCTAAAGTTCTTAAAACTATTTCACAGATCTCCATAACATGTTATTTTGATACCCAGTTCAAAAGTTTTTTAGCTCTCAGATTTCAATACTTTGTATACCGATATTTAACAATAGTCCACTCTGCCCCCCCCCCCCCCCAAGTCCTGCTTAAAAATCAAATGACCAGCTCAGGGCTTTTCTTGGTGGGTAATTCTGGCCATTGAATGTCTACTTCCCTTTATATGCTAAATCCCTATTTTGTCAAGCTACAAGAGAAATACATCTCTGCCACTATTGGAAATGTGCTGCTTTATTTTTCTGTTAAACAGGATAGGTTAGTACTGAAAGTTTCCACTAATCTATAGTATATGCTTCAGCACTGAATATGTATATTAATGTTGCTCTTTGATCAAGGTGTTTTTAATTGTAATATATTTATCAATAATGTTGACATAAAATAATTGCCTGATGAATAAGCACAGACTATGGATCCAGACTTCATAGGTTCAAATTCTGGCACTATCATTTGTTAGTGGTATATGGTAGAACAGTGGCTTTGCCTGTGCTTCAGGTTTTTTTCATCTATCAAATGAGGAGAACTAGGAAGAAAGTGGTACCTCATAGAGATAGGCAGCGGCCAGATCATATAGGACCCTGTAGGTAGTGGGAAAATGTATATAAATCAATGGAAAGCCACTGGGAAGATACATGTGAGTGCAGTTAGCACTGCAGCAGAACTCTGGTGACCTGTGAGTTGGATGTAGATGTTCTATCTTTAAGGTCAAGTAATGACAGCCTTCTTTCCCAATTAATAAGAAAAAAAATAAGTGAATTTTCACAAATTTTTCATAGGCATTTAGGTCTTATTACTGCTTGTCTTTGAGCTTTGACAAGAGTAAACTGGTTAAGGTAAGCAGAAAAATATGAAAATCATAAACTATGATTAGTTTGAGAGCTTCTGTTTAGAAACATATTTCTGTTCATGATATGATTTCAGGCTTGTGGATCATAAAAGGAATGGTGCTGAAAGTAGGTTGGGTGGATCAAAGGGAATAGTTTTAAATACATTTAATGTTTGCAGGTTAAGAGAAACTTGAGTTTTATAGTAATGGAGCTCTGTAAAACTATTCTCAAGATTGGGCATACCGCCCAGTTGGTGTGGCTCAGTGGTTGAGCGTCGACCCATGACCCATGCACCAGTAGATCACCGGTTCGATTCCCGGTCAGGGCACATGCCCAGGTTGTGGGCCTGATCCCCAGTGCGGGGCATGCAGGAGGCGGCCAGTTGATGTTCTCTCTCATTGATGATTCTATCTCTCCTTCTTCCTTTCTCTCTCTCTAAAATAAATTTTAAAAAATATTAAAAGAATTAAAAAAAAAGATTGGGTATACCTAGTCAACAAAAGAGAAGAGAATTTGGGAGTGGTAAAAAAAATTAGAAGCTAGAAATTAAGGTAATTGTGAATTAAATTCAGGTTTGCTTTAAGAGGAAAGTAATTTGAATAGGAGGGTACGTGTTAGTTAAATTTAATATGTTTCGTGATTAATAAACTTAGTTTTTGTCCTGATATGTGATATTGTAATTTTGGCTGTAATAAATTATAGGGTTAGGGTTTAAGTTTAAGAAGATTCTTCCCTTTTTATGTAGTGGGTAGTAGTATATAGAGTCTGATTTGGAGAAAGAATAGTTTTAGAATTTGCTGATCGGTTTATTGATGCTTCCCATCATTTGTTATTTCTTGAAGTGGTGGTAGTAAAATAGTATTTAACTCTCGAGGTGTACCTTTAATCCTTAGATCTCAGACTGCTTTATAGGTGGTCATTATTTTTTATGATTCCTCTGAAACTGATGGCAGAGAATCACCCAAGCCTTACAAAAATGTGGAGCAACATAAAAATTAAAGCTTGGTTCCTAGACATCATCTTTTCCATTTAAGAAGTTTAAAGAGGTGAGAAGACTA